AGAGAGGCAGGCAGAGATAGGGGAGGAAACAGACTCCCTGCTGAGCAGAGAACCCAATGCAGGGCTCGATCCCAGGATCCTGGGATCATGACCTGAACCGAAGGCAGAAGCTTAACCCCCAGAGCCACTCAGGTGCCCCTCAAGTTCCATGTTTTAGCATGTGTGAGTAACTTCATTCCTTTTAATGGCCAAATAATATTCCATTGTATGACTATACCACATCTTATTTACTCATTCATCAGTTGATGGACATTTTGGGGCTACTACAAATAATGCTGCTAGAAGCATTTGTGTACAAGATTTCATGTGGTCGGGGCGCCTGGGTGGCTCAGTGGGTTAAAGCCTCTACTTTCAGCTCAGGTCATGATCCCAGGTTCCTGGGATCGAGCCCCGCATTGGGCTCTCTGCTTGGTGGGGAGCCTGCTTCCCTTTCTCTCTCTCTCCTTGCCTCTCTGCCTACTTATGATCTCTCTCTGTCAAATAAATAAATAAAACCTTTAAAAAAAAAAGAGATTTCATGTGGTCATGTTTTTATTCTCTTGGATATATACCTAGGAGTAGAATTGCTGGATCATAATGGTAACTGTACATTGAACTTTGACGAACTGTTAACTAAACCCACTACACCATTTACTTTCCCACCACAGTGTATGAGGGTTCCAGTTTCTCCACATCCTCACCAATACTTACTATTTTCTGTCTGTATTGTGTAGAGTGGTATCTCCTTATGGTTTTACTTTGCATTTCCCTAATACTAATGATATTTAGCATCTTTTCATTGCTTATTGGCTACTTGTATGTCTTTTTTTTTTTTTTTTTTTGGTAGAAAAGTCTGTTAAATCATTTGCCCATTTTCAAATTGGGCTGTCTTTTTTTTTTTTTTTTTTTTTTTTTAAGTAATCTCTGTACCCAGCATGGGGCTTGAACTCATGACCCCAAGATCAAGTGTTACATGCTCTACCAACTGAACCAGCCATGCACTTTGGGTTGTCTCTTTTTGAGTTACAAGAGTGCTTCATATATTCTGAATTGAAGTCCTTCATAAGATATTTGATTTGCAAAAATTCTCTCCCATGGATTATCTTTTTACTTTCTAGATGGTATCCTCTAAATCACAAAAGTTTTCAATTTTAATGAAGTCCAGTTCATTTTTTCTTTCATTGCTTGTGCTTATGGTGTTATATCTAAGAAAGCATTGCTGAATCCAAGGTCACAAAGATTTATCCTAGTGTTTCCTTCTAAGCGTTTTATAGTTTTAACTCTTGTATTTCGACCTATCTTCCATCTTGAAATAATTTTTACATGCAGCATGAAGTAGGGGTTCAGCTTCATTATTTCAATATGTTGATATCCAGCTGTCCCAACACCATTTCTTGAAAAGACTTTTCTGTTGAATTGTCTTGGCACTCTTGTCAAAAACCAACTGACTATAAATGTGAAGGCTTATTTTTCTGGGCTCTCAGTTATATTCCACTGATAGACATGTCAGTCTTTATGCCAGTACCACGTTGTTCTGATTATTGTAACTTTGTGGTAAGTTGTGAAATTGAGAAGTGAGAGTCCTTCAACTTTGTTCTTTTTCAAGATCGTTTTGACTATTCTGAGTTCCTTGCATTTCCATGTAAATTTAAGGATCAGCTTATGAATTTCTACAAGAAAAGACAACTGAGATTTTGGTAGGGATTGCAGTGAATTTATAGATCTGAGAAGTACTGCCGTCTTAAAAATACTAAGTCTTACAATCCATCTTTCCATTTATTTAGGTCTTAAATTTCTTTCAGCATTGTTTTATAGTTTTCAGTGTACAAGTCTTATGGTTCCTTTGTTTAATTTATTCCTAACTATTTTGTTCTTTGTGATGTTATTGTAAATGGAATTTCTAAATACCATTTTTGGATCGTTCATTGCTGGTATATAACATGCAGTTGATTTTTGTATATTGATTTTACATTGTATGTTCTTGGCTGAACATATTAGTTCCATTAGTGTTTTGTGTGTACTGTTTAGGATTTTCTATATACAAAAGCGTGTCATGAGTACACAGAGATAGTGTTACTTTTTTCTTTCCAATCTGGATGCCTTTTATTTGTTTTTTTGGCCTAATTCCCCTGACTAGAACCTCCAATATAATGAGTAGAAGTAGCAAGAGCAGACATCCTGTCTTGTGCCTGATCTGAAAAGGAAAGCATCTAGTCTTTAACCATTAAGTATGCTGTTAGCTATGGGCTTTATATTCCTTTTATAATAGGAAAAGATTTTTTGAGACTCTAAAACTTAATTCAGTGTTTTAGGGGTTTTTTTGTAAAGTGTCTACCTTAGCAAAAATAAAGTTTACATCATTGCTTCCAGACCATGGTTAAAACAAAAACAAAAACAGGTAGGAGCAGAACACAGTAGGGTGTCTTTTTCCATTCTGTGAGGTGGGGGTTAGTGTGGCTTCTTTAATTTAAGGGTGGGCTCAGTTTGGATTCGGGGTGGGTCTTTGTGAGATTGGTCTGGTGTCTTTATTCTAGCGGATTTCATTCAGTCAGTATCTGTTGGGTCTGCTGTGTGCCAGGGACCATTCTGATAATTGAGGGGGCCCCAAAGAACTAGTCATCCCAGATCTATGCTCATGTGGTATCTACAGTTTTATAGATATGCATGTAGGAATTGTGGGGCCTATGTTTTGGGGCAGATTGGAGCAGTATTTACTAGAATTTTATATAAATCAGGTAATTGGTTGGTGCACTACGTAATGGAGGATACCATACTATGTGAGACTTACAGTCATGGTCATTTCTGTTGAAGAGCTGGTCAATAACCTGTATATACATTGTATATATATTTTAATGAACTTGTCTTCTCTGTTTAAGAGTCCCATGCCAGTCATTCTTCAAAAATACTGCAACTAAAAAAAAAAACAAACTACAGTTTAGTAAGGAGGATGATGTGTAGAGAGGGAAAGCAAAGAGCCAACACTTGTTTTGGGCTCTTTGTCTTGCGCTGTGATACTTACCCCTCTTAATCCTCAGTATACCCCTTTAAGGTAGGCAGCACTACCATGTTTTACCATGAGAAGCTGATACCCAGAAAAGTTAAATAGTTTTCCAAATGCAACACCAGTGACATGTGTCCAGTTAGTCATGATTGAGGTAAGAAGTGCCATAACAAAAGATTTGATGCAGTTTTATAAGAATTATAAAGAAGCAGTGATAACTCCTAGTTGGATTAGGAAAGAAAGCCAACATGAATTTGAAGGACAGAGATGCCAAAGATGCCAAAATATGAGAAATTGCATTCTATTTGTAGAGAGTCATTGATATGCGCAGTTCTGTGTAGCGGTCAGAGGTTTGAAGAGTAAGATTCCAGCCTGTGATTGGATAAGATGCCTTGAGAGAGAACGTTGCTTGTCTTGTTGAAGACATCTGTAGTGTGAATTGCTGAGGGCTGCTGTGAGGAAGCATGCAGGGTGCTGAGAAGGGCCTTTAAGGGCATATACTCTAAGAGTCACAGGCACTGATGGGGACAGGCACTTTCTAAGAATGTATTTGCTATATGTCAGGCCAGTCAGAGTGAATGCAGTGAAGTCCGTGAGTTCTGTTCTTGGGAGACTCCGGTGTAGAATGCACGTCTCTTCCTTGTTCCAGGGCTCTTGATCTTGCTTAAAGCACGTGGGGATTTCTCTGTGGAGTTCCTCAGGAAGTATGAGGGACTCAGGTACGACAACTACATCAGCAGTCCGAAGTGGTATTCATCCAGCTCACTTACCCACCAAATTTGGTTCCAAATGGTATTTTCAGAAAGCAAATAGAAGGATGAAAACTTGCTACCACAAAGGAGATTGCAAGGAGAGAAATTCCCCCGTGGTGATTTGAACATCAATACTACCTGCACCTAGACCAGCAACAATTCAGAAGTGTGGCTTCAGCAAGCATCTCATTTGTAGGGAAAGAAAATATGGGAGCCCTGTGGTGCTAAACAGACCTGGGTCCTTATGTAAGCCCTCCCACTTCTTAGCTTCATGTGAGGCCTTGGGCAAAGTGCTTAGACTGCTTAGCTATTATAAACGCACCCACTTTTCGCAGCTTGTAAGTACCTGAGGCATGGAGTAGACATGAGGACAGAACAAGACTGAGCATGAGAACCGCTCGCACAGTACCCCATCCAGAGGAAGAACTTGGTAAAAGGCAGTTATTCTCATTCGTGTTCGCTGTCTTTCCTGAGAAGGGTACTATGATGCTTCAGGAGTTTAAAAGCACTTGAGAGTGTGAGTTTTTCTCTGAAAAGTTTTTCTTAGTTAATTAACTCACACTTTGAATCAGTCACTCTCACCTGCTTCATCTGTGATCCAATTAGTTTCCTGCTATCCTTTCACCATTAGAGCTCAGAGTGAGGTTGAAGGGAAACTGGGATTCTAACATGCACATAAAGAGAGGCATGGTAACTTTAGTACTGAAGACCCTTGGCAGAGTTAGGGGAATGTAATATTTCTCATTTTCCCTTGAAACTTCCCCTTTATGGTCAGGACAGTGTCTCTTTTAAAAAAACAAAAAACCTTTCTTTTCTGTTTCTTGTAATCTAGAGTTTAGGCCTGTATCCCATCTTCAACATTACATCAAGAGTTGACCACATAAGGACTACTTCTGTGGGGTCCTGGCTTAGAGAGCTTTGGTTCAAAGCTATGAAAAATGATTTTTTTAATAAAGATTTTATTTATTCATTAGAGAGAGAACACAGCAGGGGGAGAGGCAGGGAGAGAAGGAGAAGCAGACTCCTTGCTGAGCTAGGAGCCCAACGTGAGGCTCAATTCCAGGATCCTGGGATTATGACCTGAGCCAAAGGCAGACGCTTAACCATCTGAGATACCAGGTACCCCGAAAACCAATTCTTGATGCTTAGTACTGCCTACCACTCGCCCCTTTGAATAAGTCAGCTTGGATACATTTTTGTGGAAAATAATAAATAACAATTCTGACATTAATGGTTTTCAAATATTTCTTTCTTTTTTTCCCCTCTAGATTTCTCTTTCCTAAATGTCTTGACCAGTGTTCACAAGGTAAGCAGTATGTTTTACTTCCTGCTTCTGCATGCCTTTCAAATTCTGTTTAGATGCAACAGACTTTTCTTCACACTCCTTCCTCCCATTCTAAAGTCTGAAACAAAATTCATCCGGGGAAATCTTTGACATCTTTTCCTTTCTCTTTTTTTTTTAAGGTTTTATTTATTTATTTGACAGAAAGAGAGTGAGAGAGGAAACAAAACTAGGGGGAAAGGGAGAGGGAACACAGAGGGGAGAGGGAGAAGCAGACTCCCCATGGATCAGGGAACCTGATGTGGGGCTTGATCCTGGGATCATGACCTGAGCTCAATGCAGACACTTAATGACTGAGCCACCTAGGCACCCTGACATCTTTTTCTTTTATCATATTTGATAGGCAGATTTTTTCCTGAGTTCCTCTCTTAAGATGATAAGCTGTCATGACAATAGCTTTCCTGAGCAGAGCTTAAGTCCACCTTAATATCAGTGGATTGAAAAGGTACTAGGTATTCCTAGCCTTTGGATCAACAAGTTTTTGATGTACTTCTCCTGTGCCATGAGTGCACAGTATGGTCCAGTAGGACCTTCTCCTTTAATACCCCTCCTATATGCACTGGAATTTTCCACACCTCCTTGGAAGCATTTAGAAAATTCCACCCATCCAGTAGGTTACATTTGACCTTGCATTGTCCTCCCATCTGATAACCCTGGAAGCAGCACTTTTTAGTCATATTAACTATGGTGCCTAGAGACCCAGAATAAATTCTGAATTTCCTGCAGTGATGATAAAATGCTCATTGTTGTCAGAAGACCTGGGGTCTGAACTTCCTGAGCCAGCCCAGCAAGAAGAAATCAGACAGAAGAAAATAACTTGGTGTCCCCAGCACAGTTTTACCCTGCTGATCCCATTGCCAGTCCGCAGGGAGCGGAGACAACTGAGTATACCAGAGCTATTGTCTTGGGGAACAGATGAGCTGGGTGCTGTGCAGGGCAGGAGCCAGGTGACTGGAGAGAGGAATGTGTGTGTTGGACTGACATACCAGGGAGTCTCAAGTCTAACTTTTAGAGGCCTTTGTTGCTTTCCAGGCACAGTACCTCAGAAGCAGAGTGGGATAGAGGTGGCTAGGTCCACTCACAGTATCCACTCCAGGTAGATGAAGGAGATTTTAGGGAGGTTGGGTCCGTAAAATGTGGTGACAGACTAGATGTGGAGCATCTAGGATCACTCTCTGGTCCTTGAATATATGTTTGCAAGTCATGGTCAAAGCCAAGGGTGCGGGTTATAGTCACCCCCTGTCCACCACATGATTATTGCCATCCTAATGCACCTTGGCTCCTTGGCACTTTCTACCTCCGTGCTTCTTTGTTTTTTTGCACACAAAGCACAGCTGGTCAGACTCCCCTGGCTGAGAGCCTTGGGGAGGTGCTCTCTCTTCATTGTCCATGAACCTGGGCCAGTATTACAGGAGGAAAGCCCTTTTAGGCCAAGACAGACTGGATTCTCTCTGGCACTTGGCAGACAGATTTCATTAACACTGCTTCCTTACTTAGTGTTCAAAGGCAGCTTGTGTCAGATTCTGTGCATGTGTACAGATAAGGATGTGATCAGATGTGGGCAGGTGACCTTGGGGCCAGAGATAATGTTTTTCTGAACTCCAAAGGACTTATAGAGTAACAGTATCTTAGTAATTATCTTTCCCTTGCATCTTGGCCCAAAGGACCCTATGAACTGGTCTGACCTGGCTCACCACGGGCATGGGCTATCTGGGGAGGGAGGAAATAAAAGGCAAGTATTTCTTTTATCCTCAGAGATTTGGTGGCTAGCCTGGCAATGGGATCTGCCACCAGTAGACAAACACTTCATGTCCTGAGGGAGCATATTGCCTCCCTTTGCTCCTGTTCATGGGTCAAACTCCCTGATTCATTGCTTTTACAACAAAGAATTGTTTTACAATGAGAAAAGGACTGTATCACAGCCCCAAAATGATGTGTGTTACAGAAATCCAAGGATTAGGAAATAATCTCAAGAGTTTAAACAGCAAACACGACTCAATATAATGCTGATTGGAGAGAAGAACAAAGACTTTTTACTACCATGTCCTGCCTTTAGTATCTATAGGTGGATAAAACAAACTTTGCTTTCTCCTGGGCTTCTGAAAGCCTTTAGCCCAGACTGGGACAGTCAGACTTGAGAGGTTATTTCCCCACTCAGGGGAATGGGCAGGCCAGGCTCTCCACTCACTCACATCCCAGACTGGTAGGACTGTGGCCAAATGTGAGTATCCATTCTTTGACACAGAGCATAAGGAAGCTCCTGGTCCAAGCAAGACGAAACCGCCCACAGTGGCCTCTTCACCCTGTGCCCCAGATTACTGCTATACCTGCCTCCCAGCTGGGATTTCCTCTTGGCAGGTGGTAGTTTGCATAGCTGGCCTAAGGAATGCTGAGGATAATCCTTTTGCTTGTTTCCCTATAAACCAAGGCCCCTTTTCTGTGTCCAATTCATGACCTAGTATCCCAACCCCCCAGGGTTTATTTACATGATATTCGTGAGCGGTACAGGACTTTGGGCAAGGTGTCCATCAGAGATCCAGACCCCAGCCTTTTCCTGAATAGGCCAGATCTATGCTTGTGACCCTGGCACATAGCACTTAGGTTGCCACATTTGCACTAGTCTGATTCTCCAGTTTCTTTTGCCCCAGAAGATACTAAACAGAGTCCTAGGGCCTTTATTATAGGTTTTCACTCACTTTCGCTGACTCCTCTCTGCAAGATCCATCACAGCTGTTCTTGTCTTCTACTCCTGGAAATCTCATGGAACTCTTGCAGGATCCGGCTCCCATGTTTGCCACCTCTGGAATGTGCTGAGCCTTCTAGAACTCTGCTTTGCCACATTCTGGGCCTGACCTCCTGACCTTGCCTCACTCTGTTTCCAGAGGCCCCAGTCAGGCCTGGGTGCAGCTATAGGACATGGAGTTCTGGCATTAGGCTCACCAGGCTCATCCTCGATGCTTCCCTTGCAGCCTCCAGAGGGACCTTTCTAAATGGGACTGAGTATACAGGCACAACCAGTGTCACCTTCATTAGGAGCCTTTCCTGACACTGTGGCTGAGGGTGGTCCATCTTAATGTTAAAGCTTCTGACACAAGTTTTTAAATATTTTAAAACAGAATAAACAAAATGCTGACATATTCTCCATTTGAATTCCTTAGTCTGTGCTGTTACCACAACTGGGTCATATGTGGAGACCTTGAGGATAGAGGTTTTGTGTGGGAGAAGCTCTTGAGAAAATGTGATTCTGTATATTCTTGTACACTTGCATATGCATAGACTATCTGAGAAAGCATACCCAAAATCTGGTTGTCAGTGGTTGTCTCTGGGGAAAAGAATTAGGACTCAGGGTGTCAGAGGAGGGAGGAAGAAGCTTGGCTTGAATACCCTTTTGTACCTTACTGATTTTCTCCCCCAAATGTGTATATATCGGTAAGTCTTAGAAACCTTTCAGGTGGCTGTCTGATGAATGGGATTTGCTCATACTTAGAAATGGGAAAAATTCTGGCGTGTGGGTACCACAGCTCAGCTGCTTAGGCATGTTAGGCATGTCAGGTTGCATGTATCTTTTATGACACTTGATTCATTCATTCATTTATTCAGCAAATCTGTATCTAGAGCCCGGTTCGGCCCAGTCCTGGTGGATTGGGGAAGGCTCTTTAAAGAGGAGCTATTCACATTGTCTAGAGCTTGAAGGAGGAGTTGGGCTGAAGAAGAGGAAGGGAGAGATGGTTCCAGGCAGAAGGACCAGCAAGAGCAAAGGCCCGGTGGTGACCAGAGCATACACCAGAGCACATCTGATATGATCAGATTTTCTGTTTTTGAAAGATTACTCTGATTCCAGTAGTTAGAATAAATTATAATAAGAGAAGCCTGGAAGTGCACAGACTAAGCAGTGACCTAGCAAAGAGACTGGTAGTCTGAACTAGACAATGGTAGCAAGGACTGGTAATGGATCATGGGTCCAGGAGCTGTTTAGCCCTCACCAGGCCTAGAGGAGGACTCAGGTGCCTCCACAGCCCACATCTGGGGAACTGGGCAGCCTTTCACCAAGTGATGGGAGGAGGCAGAGCTGCACTCACCCCTTGGATATCAAGGAAGGCTGTTGAGGAAACTCACCCTTGAATCCTGAGAGGTCTTTCAAGCACTGTGCAGAGGCCTCAGGTCACCTTACTAGCTGAACACTAACAGACACCTGAGAATAGGACCTATATCTCAGAACCAAGGAACTGATAGATCCCCAAACTGTCCAAAAACACTTAGGAAGGAGCTTCTCTGCTTAGCAGGTGAGTTGCAAGTTCTGGTGTCTGTGGTCCCAGTCACGTGGTGTAACCTTCGTATGTATCCTTTCCCCATAGTAACATGTGACCATTGACATGAAACTCCTAATCCCTGCTCCCTGGTCATGAATTGAATGCATCCAGACAATTTGTGAGGTTAGATTCAGTCTTTAGCATTTTTGGAACATTTTTTTCCATTAGTATAAGTGGTGAAAGGAAGGAAGTATCATTTACTTCTGCCTCAGACTAGAGGTAGGAGCCAAGGATTCTGAAAGTTGCCTTCCATCTAGTGATGGCCATTCATCTAAACCAGGGACTAGGCAGCCTTTACTGGTGGGAGTCACATGACCTAGCTTCCTGCTGATGCCACAGCCACCCTTGTCTGTCTGAGAAATGGCTCAGTCCAGGCCCCTCAATGTCCATGTAGAGGTCTCATTCTTAGGCTGTTGCTCCACTGACAATGAGGGTGATGGTAATGGTGGTGGCCATAAGTTGTATTTAATGAGTTCTTACTATCTGTAGGCCCTGTGATAAATATTTAGTGATAACCTGCAGGTATGTGTTACTGTTCCTATCTAACAGAGGAAGAAATTTGGCTCAGAGAGAAAGATGAGTAATTTGCCCCTGATGTCATTCATTAGTAATTAGTGGAGCCCCACATTTAAACTTATGGTCTGCCTGGCTCTAAAACTCATGCTTTAGTTTTTACATTATGTTATCCTTTTATATATATGAAGAAGGTAAATAAGACTGTGAGTTCTGTATTTTAAATACCACCTGTGTTATTCTTTGGAGCTTTTATAGTTTAGAGAAGGGGAGAGAACAGGATTATATGAGGGAAGGATTGAGATGGTAAGGTAATAGAGAAGATTTTAATGAAAAAGAAAGCTTTACCAAAATTAAAAAGTTAAAGAGCTTAAGTAAAAAAAAAACAAGGTGCAGAACAGTATAATATGTCACTATTTGTGGGAAAGAAATGTATACACACTTTTACTTGTGGATACACAACATATCCTTGAAGAAGATCTGAGACTGATAATGACGAATGCCTCCAGGGAGGGAAAGTAGGTGGCTGAGGAGGGAGGGATTTATTTTCCCTCTGAATCCTTCTTTGCATTGTTTGTGTTTTGCCCTCAAAAACTAAATACAGCTGATTTTTTTCAACCTAAACACTCAGCTGAATTAAATAGTATTCATACAGAGTCCTCTATACTGAATATTCATTATTCAGGATCCTACAATTACAAGGTTACTTAGGACAGCTGAAGTCTCTCTATGATTTAGAAATAATCACCTATGAACTAATCATTTATAAAAGCTAGCCTCTACTACTAAAAAGATTTTAATCTTAGATATAGAAATGATAATACCCACAAGAATTCTGTTATAAAATAGAATATAAATGTTGAAACTCTTAAAAACCTATAAATGAGGTTCTATTTAACAAAGAATTGGGAGGCAGCAGGAGATTCTCTATATCTTCCAAAGTGGGACATTAATAAAGTTTAGAGCTGTAAAATTAAGTTATAAAGAATAAGTTATACTCTTAGTATACAGTTAGTTTTAAAGATACACACGGGAGAGACTAAAATTACTTACTAATATGACCAACCAGAATGTGATGGCGAAATAGGAAGAACACTTCAAAATATGCCCGTTTCCCCATCTGTCATATAGAAAAGCCAATAGGCATTGTCTAAAAGTTGATATTATAAGAAATGGTGATTTAGATCTATCAAAAAGCTATAAGGGTCGGGAGTGAGGGGGTGCCTGAATGGCTGAATCAGTTAAGTGACTGATTCTTGATTTCGGCTCAGGTCCTGATCTCAGGGTAATGAGATCAAGCCCGGCTTCAGGCTCTGCACTCAGCCCAGAGTCTCCTTAAGACTCTCTCTCTCTCTCTCTGGGTGACTCAGTTGGTTAAGCAGCCAACTCTAGGTTTCAGTTCCGGTCAGGATCTCACGGTTCTGGGATTGAGCCACCCACTGGGCTCTGCACTCAACAAGGAGTCTGCTTCAGGATTCTCTCTCCCTCTGCCTCTCCCCCCACTCTCTCCTTCTCTTGTGCGTGCACCCTCTCTCTTCAATGAATAAATAAATCTTTTAAAAAAATATTATCCTTCCCTCTCCCTCTGCCCCACCTCCTGTGCTCACTCACCCACACTAAGATAAATAAATCTTTTCTTAAAAAATTAAAAAAAGAACAAATTTTTTAATCTTTTTTTTTTTTAAGATTTTACGTATGTATTTGACAGAGAGAGGAAGAGAGAAAGAGCACAAGCAGGAGGAGCAAGAGAGGGAGAAGCAGGCTCCTCACTGAGCAGGCAACCCGATGCAGGGCTTGATCCCAGGACCCTGGGATCATGACCTGAGTTGAAGGCAGACACTTAACCAATTGAGCCACCCAGGCACCCCCAAAACAATAAGTTTTTAAAAAACAGTTTATATTTAAAAAGATTGAATCTGTAAAAGAGATCTAGCTGCTGGTATGTTAAAGTGAAATCATGGGGTTACAGTTAACAAAATCCAGACTGACAGAAATTTACAGGGTACAGCTTTTCAGCAAATAAATTGCAAAGAAATGAGGAGACACTGCAGATTGAAAGAGAATTATGAGAGACATAAAAGAAAAATTATGTGGATTTTGGCTCCTGGTTCAAAAAATTAAGAAAGCATTCATGAGACAGAGAACGTAGACTATATTTTTTATATTGAAGAATTTATTGTTAATTCTTTTTTTTTAAGGATCCATATCTTATGGAGATAGATGCTGAAATATTTTGGATGAAATAATTGGATGTCTGTTATTGACTTCAAAATCACCCAGGGGAAAGGGGAAAAGGCTGGCATATGATATGGAAGAAATGCAGTTAGCCAAGTGTTGTTAATTCTTTAAGGGTGATGGGCACATGGGAGGTTATTGTACTACTTTTAAAGTTTTTGTATATGTTTGAAATTTTCACAGTATTAATAAGTGAATAAAAATGGTTGAATAACAAAAATGCAAGTGATCTTATGGTGGAAATGGTGTATATGCTCTGATCATAACTATCTCAAAACAGGAATGAGTATGGAAGAGGTATTATAATTATTCTGGTGTGGTAGGGTGTGAAAACTTCCCTGATTTCCAAATTCTCTGTAGCGTAGATTTTCCTTGTATATTTTCATGAAAGCTTGGGAGGGATTGTTACCTACTCCACAACCCCTCATTGCCTGCACTACTCTTCCTTACTGTATTACTGTGTGAATATCTGTGTTAGCACTTATCTTAGACTTGTAGGTCCGTGTGAGTGACTCCTTGCCTGTGCACTCACTCTTTGAGAATCTAATGGTGAGTGCCTGACATATGGTTAATGCTTGGTAAGTCTCTGTGGTCTAAACTGGTGACGCTGTCTGGCACAGGTTCCAGAAGAGGATAAGGACAAGGGATATGGAAAGGGCCCTTTGATGAAGAAGCTCCCAGGAGAGCTTCCACCTGGAGAGCAGAATGGAGAAAGTAGAGCAGGTTAAGAAGGGAGGCAGCTACAGGCCTGAGGCCATTCACTCCAAGGATTGGCAGTGACAGACAGAGGAGCAGGTGTTGGGGATCAGAGGTATCCTGGTAACATAAGAGGGCTCCTGGAAGGGATGACTAGGCAGGGAGCAAAGGCTCACATTGTGTGGGCTCTCAGCCCCGATTGGGACTCTGAAGCCTGAACGATTCTTGGTTTTATTCCCCAGGCCTGGTGAGTAACGTCGTGTTCACCAGTCATACCACGGAGCAGAGGCACCCTCTCCTTGTCCAGCTGCAGAGCCTCATCAGGGCTGCCAATCCTATTGCAGCCTTCATTCTTGCAGAAAATGGGATTGTCACCAGGTAACCTTACCAAGTTTACTTCACCCAGTAGGACTAGCCACTTCCTCAGATGCAGCACTCTGTGGCCCATAGGGTATTTCTCTTGCACATTTATAAAAAAGTGCTTTTGATGTTCTGTAAAAATCAGTGAGAGGAGCCCATGTGTCAGTATCTTGTACATTTTGAGATGTTTGTTTTGTTTAAGATTTTTTAAAAGATTTTACTTATTGAGAGAGCACGAGCAGAGGGAGAGGGAGAGAGAGAATCCCAGGCCAACTCCATGCTGATTGTGGAGCCGACATAGGGCTGTCTCACGACCATGAGACCATAACCTGAACTGAAATCAAGAGTTAGAGGCTTAACTGACTGAGCCACCCAGGTGCCCCAAGATTTTATTTTTAAGTATCCTCTGTACCCAAGATGGGGCTCAGACTTACAACCCTGAGATCAAGAGTTGCATGCTTTACCAACAGAGCCAGCCAGGTACCTCAAGATATTTTTTGTAGATGCATCACATTTTCATGCATTAAAGGATGAAGTTAGGACTCTATCAGTATTCCTGGTGTTACGATGTGAAAGAAATGGCATAGAGAACATAGAGAAATGACTTTTTTACTTCATGGACTTGGGTCCAAATTTTAAACTAAAAATAGAGAATTGATGACTTTGTGTATATGGACCTGTATGAAGAGAAAACATCTGGTCATACAGCACATTTATTTGCTCTACAAAGACATACCAAAAAGTATATGCTTTTTATATAATTTTGACTTTGAGCAATGTAAATATTTTACATATTCAGAAATTAACAAAGAGGGATAAAACTAAATAAAACAAAAAAGTGAACCATCTCTATATCAAAGTAATAACAACCACACACACAGCAGTTAATTTAAGTAACTTTTAAACATAATCCTCTGTTAGAGCCCTGATTCAAACAACATCATTTGTTAGATAAGAAAGATGATAAATAAGAAGTTGGAACAGTGAAGAAAAACGCTGTGAATGGTGGATTTGAATTGTGGGTGTCAGCATAAATTCATTATTTCAAGAAAATGTTTATTTCCTAGCTCTTCCCATGGAAAGGGACCAGAAATACTAATACCACAGTAGAATAAACACCCCCACCTCTAGATCCTGGTTTCTACATACCAGTCCCTAGTACAAGGTATCAGGACTCCTTGGAGAATTGGCTGATTGCAGGTCTAGAGCAGGGAAAGTACAGGTGAGCCTGGTGCATTTTGTGCTAAAAAAGCAAGGAGGAGGTACTCAAAGATTAGTAGAGATTGGTCAAAAGGATACCAGAGCCAGCTCAAAAGCTCCCACAAGACAAATTTGGGACAACTTGAGCATAAGAGAAAAACAAATGTAATAACAAATTATATATAACACATGGAATAAAATGAGTCCATGGATGAGGGAGGGGCAAGACAGTAAATCTCTCTTTACACTAAAAAATAAGGATTTATAGAATTAGAAAGTCATTATTTTGTAACTGTTAGTATAATATAATACTTGATTTAGGCAAGAATCATCAGTGGATACTAAGAGCAGTAGGTGACAGATTGTTAATGAAAAGGACATTAACTGGTCACAAAGTATCACTCCATGGCCTACTTATTGCTTATGATGAGGGGAAAGTACCTTCACAGTAGAGAGATCTAGTAGACATGACATCGACCAAATGATTAAACTTAGACCAATAAGTGGACAAACTGACATCATGTGCCTCCTTCATATGATACCCTGGGAAGGACACATTACCTGGGTATTAATCTTACCAAAAATGTCTAACTGAATCTAATCATAAGGAAACAACCAGACAGATCCACGTTGTAGTAGGACTCAGGACAGCTGGCATGTACTCTTCAAAAATGTCAACTCTGTAAAAAGAAAAAGTTGGAAGAATTACTCCACATTAAAGGAAAATAAAGATTGTAAATTCAGTAAGCAGTCCTTGATTGGATCCTGGGTCCCCTCTCTGGCAAAACAGGGAAAACTTGAAAATGGATTAGATCAGTACTCCTCCAACTCTAATATGCTGTAGATCTCTTAGGGATCTTCCTATTCGGCAGGTGGAGTGGGGCCGGGGATTTTGTGTTTCTGATGAGCTTCTAGATGATACCAGCCCTGCTGGTCCACAGTATTAAGTTCCTTGGGTATAATAATGGTATTGTTGTTCTAAAAGAGAATGTCCTTGTTCTTAGGAGAGGGAGGCATACTGAAGGATTTAGGTGTGCAGTAACAAAAAAATGCATATGTGCTTGTGCATCTGTGGGGGGTAGGAAGCAAAATGATCAGGTTAAGATTGATCATCCTAATTAACCTGGTTTTTCTGTATGCTTTCAAAGGAATGAAGACATTGAGCTGATTCTCTCGGAAAATAGTTTTTCAAGTCCTCAGATGCTACGGTCTCGATATTTAATGTACCCTGGCTGGCAAGTATCATCATTGAAAAGTAGCTAAGATTTCTTTGTAAATGCAATGATGTATTCATTTATAGAAAAAGGAAGAAAGAAAGGAAAGAAGGAAGGGAGGGAGAAAAAAGAAATTTCAGGTGTTCTACAAGGGTGACAGTGGCAGCTGGATGGCCTGCCATGTCCCAGCAGCTGCTGGTCTTGCTAGGAGCCCAGTGCTCCATACATCTTGGGCTCCAACTTGGGAGCCTTGCTGGATGTTGAGACTTAGGGAGTGGCCCTGTGGGCACTGAGCATACCGTGTTCTTTGTTTCTTCTAGCCTCTAGTGAGGGTGAGGTGGCTGGCATGGACCCAAGTAGTTACAGCCTTCCCAGATGGTAGTCGCTCCTGAGAATACAGTCAGTCCTCTAGGGGGTTCCCACCTGACAGGTAGGTTCCCTGCTGTTGTGGCCCAGGGAATGTTTATTCTCTCCTGGCAGCCTCACAGCATGTGAACCTCTCCTCCAAAAGGGAGTGGAGGAGGAAAGACAGTGCCAAGGGCACTGTAGTCATATTAGTGCCAGCATCACTTGAGCACGCACTGTGTGCTTCACATTGTTCTAAGCTCTCCAGGACAGTAGCCACCAGCCGCATTTGGCTATTTAATAAAATGTAAATTAATAAAAATTAAGTAAAATCGGTCTCTCAGTCATACAAGCTACACTTCAAGTGCTCAGTGGTTACCTGTGGCCAGCAGCTACCACATTGGACAGCGCAGATCCAGAACATTTCCATCATTACAGAAAGTTCTGTTGGACAGTGCTACCTGAAGAGCTCTGCCTGTTTTGTGTTACCTCATTAATCCTTAAACCAAGCCTGCAAGGTAGACTCCATTATTTCCCTCCTTTTTAAGGATAATGTAAGTGAGGCAGCAAGGAGTTAAATGTTGTTTCAAATTCATACAGCTGGTAAGTGAAAGAGCTGCATATCTAACCCAGGTTGTGTGGCTCCAGAGCCCGTATGCTCAGCTGCCATGCTGCGCGTCTTCCTGTATAGAATGGGTAACTGTTTCCGAGGTTCAAGGGAAGACAATTACTACAGCTTGGCCAGAAGTATTCTCCCGTTGATTTGGATTATCTTTGTTTTCCTTACTCATTCCCCCAGACACCTTTCTATGTCCTCCACACCACCCCTTATGTCACCAGTATTTTATACCAGCAAAGAACTGATTTGTACTATGCTGGTAAAACAAACAAGTCCAATATGTGAAACTGAAGATTTTTAGGCATATTCTAGAAGGAACCTCTGAGTTAGATCATACTTGCTTAAACCGTAGGTGAGTGGATCATCCCTTATGCCTGAACGAGAAAGTTATATCTTAGCTAAAAAGAAACAGTGGAGCTTCTGGGTGAAACCTTCCTCTCCCGTGACTGGGGCTACTGACCCTTTTCCTGCCACATCTCTGGGCCTGGTGCGGAGATTCCTGCTGTCTCCACCTAGTGCCTAGGGAAGCACCCATTCTGTAGTCCATGGTGACTCATTCTGGTCATTGTGCACATTAACTTAGCTCAGGGCACAGATCCTGGAGGCAGAATGATCCTAGAGAGCCAGGTATAAAGTGTTCATTAGAAGGCTCTGTGAATCTAAAGTCTGAAGCCTTCTCTTTACCAGGAAGATCAGCTCTTGTAGAGAATCGGAGTTGGAGGGGCCTAACTCACCCTTTGGCCCCTCTCCCTTCTGAGTTCCTTCCTAGGAATCAGATATTTTCATCTTTTAACAAGATGGCAGCCATCAGACTCCCACACATCCCTATATAATTCCCTCCTTCCTCACTGAGTCAGGGCCCACTCAGAGTGAATAGGGTTTAGCTCTAGATGTGCTTGCTCTGTGCTCTGCATATTCTCAGCCATTCCCCTCCCACAACCCTCTCAGTGATCCTCTACCCCACCCCCATTTCCCCTGGTAGAAGGCTTGTTTCTAGTGTAGCAGGAAACCTTCACTCTTTTCTTGGCCCCTCCCAATTTCCCTAAGGATTCAGGCTCTAAACAAAGAAGCCAGAGAGGCCAGTGGTCTCCCGTATCTTCAGAGAGGGCAGGAAGAATTTATCAGTACTGCAAAAATGTTATACCAGCACCTTACTTTAAAGAAAGCATAATGAGTAAGATACTTTCAACAGTACATGTGATATAAAATTCAAATCTGTAGAGCTATTTTAAAGCAAAGGAAATTAATAAAATATAATAGACTGGAAGAAAATGTGTGCATCATATGTGGCAAAGCGTTAATATAATATTTGAGAAGCTTATTCTGATATTGAAGAAAAGTAACCCAGTCCATATAGATGTGGACAGTTCACTTTTTTTTTTTTTTTGAAGATTTTATTTATTTATTTTAGAGAGAGTATGTGACAGTGGGGGTACAGAGAGAGGGAGAGGGAATCTAAGGCAGACTCCATGCTGAGCACGGAGCCTGGGCAGGGCTTGATCCCATGACCCTGAGATCATGACCTGAGCTGAAACCATGAGTTGGACACTTAACTGACAGAAGCACCCAGGCGCCTCGGCACAGTTCACTTAAAAGCAAGTATAAATGGCAGCCATGGTAACAGAATTCCACTTTAGTAATATTCAGAAATGTAAAATGATGCCTCACTGTTGTTTGGCTTGACATCTATTAACTTAATCAAAAATATCTGTAAGAATCATTGTTGGGGGAATTGTTGTGAAACTGAAACACTCTTCTGCTGCTGGGAGTGGTATAAACTATTACCCCTGAGATGGTTATACTCTTTCCTGGATTGATTCTGTCATGGGGTTTCATCTCAAGGAAATAATTCAAAAGAAGGAATGACAATTCCATAATTTTGGCAGCTGGGTGATGGGGGTTCATTGCACTGTCTTCACATGTGTTTGAAATTTTCCACAATAAAAACTTTAATTTTTCAGATACTCTGAATATGGCATGTGTTTTTAAAAAAAAAAAATTTTTTTTAAGTAATCTCTACACCCAACGTGGGGCTTGAGCTCATAACCCCAAGATCAAGAGTCACATCCTCCACCAATTGAGCCAGCCCCGTGCCCTTGAACATGGGATCTTCTTTTTTTTTTTTTTAATTTTTTCCCTTCCTAAGTCACAGACCACTTTCTTTCTTTCTTTATTTTTTAAGATTTTATTTATTTATTTGACAGACAGAGATCACAAGTAGGCAGAGAGAGAGGAGGAAGCAGTCTCCCTGCTGAGCAGAGAGCCCAATGCAGGGCTTGATCCCAGGACCCTGGGATCATGACCTGAGCCAAAGGCAGAGGCTTAACCCACTGAGCCCCCCAGGCACCCCAACATGGGATCTTCTTAATGAGCCTGTGCTTGGCACTATATCTGAGTTCAAAACTGAAAAAATAGAGCAGAGATGCTCCAGCTCTTTAGTTCCTTTTGGAAAGTGTGCACATCCAAATGTATGGTCTGTTAAGCTGCCCTCAAAAGTGGGGTATAGTTGAGGCCCTGAGGAAGAGCTCCAGGGGTGTCAGGAGGATCCCCCAATCTCAGGTGGCACACTGGTAGGCTTCAAACATAGATGGGGTCTTTGGTTTCATGGAACTGCTAGTCTACAGACCTCCCTGCTCTAATGGGGCAACCATGCTTCCCAGTCTCAAGGTGAAAGAGACATACACATATTTAAAATAAATGTTGTGTACGCAAAATGTCACATAAGTAAGAACTCAAATATTATAGGATGAATGATATGTAATTCATCCCTGAGTGGTATATAATAATATTCAAAGCCCCAATTACTTGTACTTACAACTTTTTAAACTTTTTAAGGTATGAAGGTAAATTTGATTCTGGATCAGTCTTTCCACTAATGGTTCAGATCTGCGTATGGTTTGGTCGTCCCTTGGAGAAGACTCGCTTTGTGGCCAAATGTAAAGGTAAACCTTGGTTGGGACCCTGATAAAAGAGTATGTCAGAGTTGTCCCTGCTTCCCGGCACCATTTTAGTTCACGTGTGCTGTTTTTCCTCCTTGCTCTTGGGATCTGAAAACAGGCAGAGGGATTTGAGGGTCCAGGAGTGCCCTACCCCTAGAAACAGTGGCAGAGCCACTGGGAGGATCTGGTGGAGGAACAGCCTATAAGCCCTGGTCCATGGAGTAGGGATCCTTCTCATTCCCTAACCCTCCTAGCTGTGTGCCCCAAACTTGGCCTCTGCCCCCAGGTTGGTGACAGCCTTGTCCTTTTCTTCCACCAGCAATTCAATCTTCCATCAAGCCAAGTCCCTTCTCTGGAAACATCTACCACATCCTGGGCAAAGTGAAGTTTTCAGGTAACTGGGGAGTTGGATTTAAGAGTCCTGCACTATGGAATGGTCACATTCTCATGATGTGGATTCATAGCTTCTACCGTTGCTCTGCAGACCACGGATACCTTTCAGCCTCTCTCAAAAGCCCTCCCATCTGGGCTTAACACCAGTGGCTCTTCTAGTCCCCCCACCTTTCTGCAGGTCCTGCTCCACAGTGCAGGATGTGTCCTATCTTACCCCTGGATGGCCTGCCCAGGGCCTCTCTGCACAGCTCCTTGACTTCTTATTCCAGAGACTCTCAATCTACCCCTTTCAAGCCATCCATGGCCTCCTAGACCTGTCACCAGGAGCTCCCCCAGTGATGAGCTCTCCAGCTCCAGATCCATTTCTGCCAGTCTTCAAGCCTTCCACTTGCCTTCTCCCTATTTATCAGCCTTAGATCTCTGGAACCCTCATGACTTGAAGTCTGTTCATCCTGGGCTGGAGGTCAAGGAAGGCCTCAAAACAAGGAATTAGTCAACTCAACATTGAGGAAGGGGAGAATATTCAAGGAAAAAGGCACTGCACATGCTTTGGAACCAAGGCAAACAAGGCATATTGCAGGAAGCAGAAAGGGTTCACTGTGGCTGAGGCCTTAGTGGGAATATGCCTGTTAAGGCATTTTTAGCTTTTGTAACAGAAAACACCAACTCAACTAGCTGGTGTTAGCTACATCATAAGAAGTCAGGAGGTCGGGCAGCATACCAACGCCACTGAGGACACAGGTAATGTGTGTTCTTCCATTCTTGGTATGTCAGCTTGTCTTCAGGTTCCCAGCCCTCATTGCCAGGTAGTGCTACAGATCTGGGTGTCACCTCCAAACACAACATCCAGCTGATAGAGAGGCTTTTCTTGTGGGTGGCTTTATCAATACAGATGCCTTTTACTGAGGCACCCCCTGCCTCTTCCTCAGCAGACTTCTCTCATTGCCCAGGATTGAGCTACCATGCTTTCTGGGGAACTGGTACTAGAGAAAGAGCAGGTGGTGGACAGGCAACCATTAGTGTCTGCCATAGGGAGTTGTAAGCAGTTGCCATGAGAGTTGTAAGCATGGGACCATGTCACCTGTGTAAAGATCTCTCAAGGTCTTTAACCCATGTCTTTGGCTTTATTTATGTTACTGAATCTGAAACTTTGGTCCCTCACTCAAGCCTTCTTCCCTCAGGCTCCAACAGACATCCTCCTCCTTGCTTCAAAGGTCATAGTGCCTCCCCCTTCCCTCTCACTTTGTTTTTGTTTTTATTTAGACCTTCTCAGTTAACCTTACTCAGTTAACCTCTCTTTGTTTTGGATTCCTTTCCCATCCTGCTTTTTAGGGGGACCTAAAAACAAACAAACAAACAAACAAACAAAAAAAAAAAACCAGTCCTAGCTTTCCTGTTCCTATTATGTGACCCTCCTGTACCACTTGTATGTTGACACTCCCTTTTCCCTTGGCCTCTCAGGCTTCTGCTGAGACCGAAGGGGCTCTCCTCTTATAGTCCCCTTCTGGGTTAGTGATGTCCACCTGATTACCAAATCAGCCAAGCCAGAAACTTATATTGCTCCTCCCTCTCTTAGTTCATCCTTTTTAACTTGTCATGAATCATGGCAGTTCTCCCTCCTGCATATGTCACAGGAATCTGTCCCCAACTATCTGCACGTTACAGGCTTAGTGTAGCAGGGGCTCAGGGACTACGTGTGTTCTCCCTACAGACTCTGAGAAGGCCATGGAGGTCTGCCACAACACTCTGGCCAATTCTTTGAGCATTGTCCCGGTTTTGGAAGGACCCTCGCCACCACCTGATTCCCGAAGCACACCTCAAGATAGCAACGGGCAGCAGGAGTGTTACCTCGTGTTCATCGGCTGCTCCCTGAAGGAAGAAAGCGTGAAGGACTGGCTGCGGCAGTCAGCTAAGCAGGTGGTTTCCAAAGCCCAGACACCTCTGGCACAGATGTGACCAGCACAGCTCAGAGCTGCTCCTGGCCTGTGGGTAGAGACCCCTCCAGGAGCCCCCTCCTGGTCTACGCTTCATAGGCTCAGCTGGCACTTTCAGGGATGCTCTGCAAGTGGGAGGAACCTCCTCAAGGGAGGAACCTTGAGGGTAACCTCGAGGCAGACCTGGGCTTACAGCCATTTCTAATTCTTTTGCCAAGGCAAATTGCAGTTACTAGGTGGCTTAACTGGGACCTGGTTGAAACCTGGTGGATCCACTTGGATCCTGGGTCAGCCTGGCAGTCTAAACTCAAAATGTCTTTTCTTAGCTGAACCTAATTCAGGGGCTGTCCTGTGTTCTGAACCCAGGATCCTTCTGTACTTGGGTTCTCTCTCTAGAAAAGAGAAACAACAAAGATACGCTTACAGCTATTTGTAAACCAAGACATTAAGCACTGATACCAGTGAGCCTGGGCGCTGGAAACAGGTGCAAGGGAAGACGATGCTGGCCAATAGAGGCATATAAGCATCTTTAGCCCAATACTGCAAAGAAAAGTAAAACCCAGACTGGAGTAAAATCCTCTCATATGACGCAAGCTGTGGGTGCTAGGCCTCTTAGCACAGCCTCACGGGTTTAGCTTGACTAAGAACTCTGGAAATAGAGTTGGCTGGGCCCTGGGTCCTTAGTTGGAACCTGTCTTTTATACTGAGGGATGGCTGTGTGTAGGCTGTATCTTTCCCAGATAAACTGGATAAACCCCTAAATGGTTGACTAGGGGACCTCATGTTGTCCCTTTGTCTGCATACGTGGCCCTGGTGGGGCTTAGAGTCGAGGTTCTGCAGATACAGGAACATGCTATTGCAGAAGTGCTGGTGTTCCCTCTGCTGCTTGTTTCCCCTGGCACACAGGGTAAAGTGGTGGTCAGTGGTCTCCCTGAGGGGCAGACAGCATGTGTGTTCAGACCACAACTCTGCCTGTGCTTGCTTTCCCTGCTGCTGGGATCTTAGTCATGTCACCCCCAGAACCCTGAGCCCTCCCCGCCCAGGTACTCCTTCAGCTCTGTCGGGACCTGACCCCTCCCTCCCTCCATCTCTGCACAGAAGCCTCAGAGGAAAGCCCTGAAGACCAGGGGAATGCTGACCCAGCAAGAGATCAGGAACATCCACGTGAGTCCCCTAAGAGCCCCAAGGCTATCCTGGGCTGGCACAGCTCCATCCTTTAGGAGTCCCCGAGTGAGGGGGCTATTTGTAGGCCAGGCTGGAGATCTTCCTTCTCTTAAGCCACAAAGGGAAGCTGGTAAGGAGGAACCTCAGACCATCCAGCCTCGTAGCCTAAGAGAGGAGGAGGGTAGAATGACCTCTGGTATGACCTGGGCATAAAATAGAGGAGAAGCAGTGCCTGTAGGAGGAAGGGGTGACGTGGAGCCCTGTTTTGACACACTGTTGAAGCAGCCACAGAAGTCCTTTCTCCTCCCACCCTTCCATGCTAGATAAACCACAGATAAAGCAACAGAGCCCAGGAAAAACTGTCTAGATCCAGAAACTGCTGATAAGCAAGTGGTAGACTCCTAGGCCCAGCATGAGAGGCTCTCTGCTGAGCCCCTCAGCCTTCAGGCTGACTCCTAGCCTCTTCCCTAGTCCCAGCCCCCACTGGCACCTTTTCCTGAGGGCCTTGGGGGCAAAGGCTACAAGGGACACAGAGTCTAGACCCCAGCACAGACTGTGCCACTTCTCCCAGTAATGAGCAGGTAGGAGAGGCTCTGGGACCCAGGAGCCCCTGCTTTGGACTTGAGGAGGTCCCTTCATACCCAGCTCCTGTCCTGGGCAACCCTCGGTGCTCCTGGGGAGGAGACTGTGGGTACCTCAGAAGGCAGACATGGTAGTATGTGTTCCCTCAGAAGCAGACCTTGAACATGGATTTGAGTGCAGATCACTTATTTTGGAAGTGATTCTAGGAGACACTAACAGAGAATTGAGAGAGTAAGGGAGAGAAAGAAGGGAGACAGCTAACAAAGGGTGTGTTATCAAACCAGTACCACTGAAGACGAGTGGAGCTTAATCCCAGAGAAGCTCCCAGAGTTCCTCCCTGAGATGAGAGCTCGAGAACCTCCATCAGTCACTACTTGAGAACTGCTGCAGGGAGAATATTCCCTCACATATCTAGCCTTCCATGGGGCAGAGTGTGCTGTCTTGCTAAGGCATAGGCTTGTTTATTTGTTTTTCATGAATGAGTAAATGACAGGAAGTGGTCAGATAATTTTAACAGGACGTTTTTCTTGCAGGTGAAGCGCCATCTGGACCCCCTGCCCGCAGGCTACTTTTACAATGGCACACAGTTTGTCAACTTCTTTGGTGACAAGACTGATTTTCATCCACGTATCCTTAGAATCTGTGGTGGGCAGGTTGGGTGTGTGTGGAAGCCTGAATGTAAAGAGGGTGTCTGCTAGAGCCACTGCAGCCCACGCCCTAGAGCATACTGGGTTCTAGGAACGTGCAGCAAGCCACAGAGGCAGACTTTTCATTTGGGCCGTTGAACATCATTAAGGTTAATTTCGCCTTCATTCAGTGATCACTGAAGCACCTGTGGGTTGTAGTTTCTTTTTCTTTATTTTTTTTTTTTTAAGATTTTATTTATTTGAGAGAGAGAATGAGAGAGAGCATGAGAGCGGGGTGAGGGACAAAGGGAGAAGCAGACTCCCTGCTGAGTAGGGAGCACCATATAGGGATCTATTCCAGGACCCTCAGACTGTGACCCAAGCCGAAGGCAGCTGCTTAATCGACTGGGCCACCCAGGTGCCCCTGTGGGTTGTAGTTTCAGTGTAGCTGCAGTAACATCCTACGTTCTCTGGTCATCGGGATCATAATCTACAAGTTGGAGACTATACGTGATCGCAGTAGTTAAACTGGGGGAAGGTGGACAGAAGTCTATGCTCTTGAAAGCTGGAGGGCTCAGCTCTAGGACCTCATCAAGGAACCTGTGCCAACCCTGGCCTCTTCTCTGTAGTTGGGGTGCGGCAGTATATAGGAAAGAGCCCGGCAGGTTGGCTTTGTGTGGGCTGGGCATTCAGTCCTTTGGTGTCCCCCACCTCAGCTGCCCACAGATCCCTCTGGGCCTGGGCAGGCTCCCTTGTCCCCCCAGCTCAGGGCTCTCTTCCTTAATGAGATGCCAGTCATGGACCAGTTCATGAATGACTACGTAGAAGAAGCCAACCGGGAAATTGAGAAGTATAACCAAGAGCTGGACCAGCAGGAGTATCACGATCTCTTTGAACAGAAGCCCTAGGGGAAGGCTGGGCCATATGTCCTGGAAAACGTCCACCCTGGAGGGGGACGTTTAGAAATGGGATAACGGAACCTCAGCTCTCCCAGGCCCCTCCCTAAAGGGGCTGTCTTTGTTCTTCTTGGCCTTTGTGTACTGGCTTGAGTGCATGTTGTCTTTATTCTCTATACAGCGCTGAAGAGCATCACCTGCACCACTGATGGGGGTGGGGGTGGGGGGTCCTCATGAACAATGAGCAGATAAGGACTGCCCTGTTTGTGTGGCTGGCAGCCGGAGCCTCCGGTCTCTAGTCTCCGGCCCGGAGCCTCTGGGTCTCTGGTAACAGTATCTCCTTTGGGCTGCTGAGGCACTGTGATGGTGGGGAGAAGTGTTTGTTACACAGGGGAGCTGTTGGGATGCAGAAGGAACCCTGGCTGCCTCAACAGTGGCCATGCTCTGGGAGACCAAGCCACCACAGGCACTGGCCTCAGACACTGCCCCAGGAGAGCCCTGTCCCCAGTGGAGAGTGCCTGTCTTCCCGCTTAGTCCCCTTGCATTGAAGGAGCAGGCCCTGCTGGCCTTGAGCCCAGTCCTGGAGGGGTGCAACCCAAGCCCTGTGCCAGCCCCACCCACAGGGCCAGCAGCTTGGGCTAAGATGAGGGGATGTCCCTTACAGGCTAAACTGAAGGGAAAGGCATGTTGCTTTCCAGAAGCATGTGGCTTTTGAATTGATACAAGCGGTCTCCCTGGAGGTTGATTTTGAGCTCCTCTTGTGGCCTCACTGTGGTTTGCCTCATTCTGGGGCAAGAGCAAACCTGCTGCTTCAGCCTCCCTGTGATGCCTTCCCTTGCTTTTGAGGGAAACACCTGCAACCGCTTAGTCTTGGGCCCGGGGCTCTCATCTTGTGGGGCATCCCAGAATGGGGCTCATTCTCCAGCTCCCAGCCCTCCCTTGAGCCTTGCCAGGGAAGCCTTGGTTTGCAGCCACAAACTTCAGGAAACTTAATGTCCCCAAGCATTGTTGCTGGCCCTAGACTTGTTTGGCTCCGTTAACTGGGAATTTCAAAGAATTCCAATATCCAATTTAGAATTCCTTTCAGGGTCTTTGTTTTCAGCTGGACTGTAAACCAGAGGAGAATTACAAATGCATCCCGTACCTGACTTCCAGAATTAGAATTATGGGGGAGGGGGAGGTCACAGGCGCTGATATTTGGACAATGTCTGTTAGGACTTCAGCGCCTCAGCTGCCTAGACTGTAAATGCTTTCTGAATTTTTTTTTTTTTTTTTTTTGCATGCCTTAGGAAGAAGCACATAGACAAAACCAGCAAAGTTTCCAGTAATGTAGAGGGGTTTTTGAGAACAGCCCCTGGCACAGAGGAGAGACTGAGAAAGGATGGAGCACATGTGGTCTGTGTGCCTGGTCACTCAGAGGCCTCCATGCAAGTAGCAAAGCAGGTGTTAAGGGCTTGTCAGTAAAATGTACTTGTATTAGAAAAAAATAATCTGCATTTGAAGCCAAATGAACAAAACTCCAAATACCACTAAGTAAGAAATCTTGCATGAAGAAAGCCTTCTGAAAAGGCCCATGTGCTCCAGTCCCAGCTCCCAAAGCTGGTGGTGACAAGGGTCCAGGTGTGGAGCCCACATTTGGGAGCACCTCACTTCTGTTTGGCCAGAGGCTGGGGTCCACAATGGGCCTGCCTCTGCTTCAGAATCAATAACATAGATCTTAAGTGCAATTGATGAAATAAGCAATGAGTTACTGTAGCTTCTTTTAGCTCTACTGAGCTCTTTTTAAAAACTCAAACTTGAGCAGCCTTAGAAAAGGGAGAAGTGGGGTGGGTGGGTGGGTGGGAGGAACCATAGGTCATTTACTCCAGGTGGGTTGCTGTGAACTTTTAAATGAAAGCTCTAGATTGAGAAGCTTGAGCCATTTCCTGGCTGCTGCACAAAAGAGTTTTTAAAGAGGGTTCAGAGCCCGTGTATAAAAGCGGGTCTTCCCACTGCGTGGGGCTGTACTACGTGGTGGTCTTGGTTTCTGACCGTGGTCCACAGAAATGCTCTCTCACCAACTTGCCCCACTGTCCCAATTCCTCTACTGTTAGAGGGAAAACTGTGATTACCTCAACTTGAATATGATACTGTGATTGAAAAAAGTCAAAACGTTAAGAAGTTCCAAAGCCAAAAAGGCAGAACTGGCTGAGGCCTCCGTTGATGCTCCTCAGCCTGCTCGGGGGTGTGAAGGGGCACATTGGCGAAAGGGCATTCCTTGGGGCGCACTTGCTGTGCCCCCGGTAAAGAGGCACACTAGCTGTATGAGCTCTTTGAGGACTGAGGCAGGGAGGACGCTCCTCCCCCCCGCACTGCCCCTTCTGGAACCTGCCAGGTGCCTCTGGGTTCTGACTGTGAAGTTTAATATCCACTGGATTCCTCTGGGAGCTCCAGGTGGAGAGACAGGGTCTTAGGCTGTCTCCAGAGGAAGGGCCATGACACTGTGTGGCAGATTTTGACCTTCAGAGTGGATACCAGGGACCCAGCAGAGACATCAGGTGTAGTAGGTTCCTTAGGGACAGGCAGAAGTCCTCCAGGGGCTTTCGTGCTTTTTGCCAACTTTCCTGTTAGCAGCTTCAGTTTTATATCACCCAGAGTGAGTGTGATAATGTTGAAGTCGCTGAAGTTATGGGTTATTTTACGTTTTGATGTGGGATTTTCTTTTCTTTTCTTTTTTTTTTTTTAATTGGGAGGAGGAGGCAGAAATTGGAGAAAAGGGATCACCCTAGGAGGGGGCTGCTGGCACGGAGTCCAGTTAGCCCAATCCGAGCCCCGGGGGCTCTCTGACCTGAGGCCAGGACACTGGGCCCTGTGGGTCGCAAGAAAAAGTTCCCTCCTAAATTCTATTAGGATTTTGGAGAATTTTTGCACAGTAATAAGCTCTGGGTTGCTCTTTGGGCTTCTCAAAAGGGAAAAGTTAACTCAAAGATTGTAAACTATTAAGTATTGCAGCGTGTTGCTGACCTAGTTGGATAGTTGTACCTCAAAAAGTAGGTGAGAAAAGGCTTCCTTGTCCCAGGTTGTCAAATACTAATGACAGAAGAGCTCACTTACGTGCCAAAATTCACTTTTGTACTAGTTTTTCAGTGCTTTAATATTTGTAACTTAAATTTTAAAACTCATATTTACAAACACTACTGTAACTTCAGTGAAACTGAATTGTGTGATTGAAGCTTTTTGCTTATTATAGTATTTATTACACTACTTAATTCAGTAAATATATAAAAGTAGCCTTCAATTTATTTTTATATTATTTTACATGTTTTTACCTGCAGTCGTGTATGTGAATTTACCTTGGTAACTGAGATGTTATGCTAAGGACCAATAAACTCTCACTGAACAAGCAAGACCTGGGGCAGTTACCTGTTCCTGTGGACTCAGCTGTTTTGGGGAGGGCAGAATATGTATGTGGCTTGGGAAGGCCCGCCCCCAGGGACTTGGGCCCTTCCTTCGGCCTTGGCCTCCTGTTGGTAGTGCTGTGCTGGGCAGCTGGGAAGAGGCCCCTGGGGCGCGCACATTCCCCTCCCCAGACCCCAGAGGGCCCACAGAATGTAAGGTTCATGAGACCACCCTCCGTGCAGATAGGTGCTCTCGGGACTCCCAGAACCCGAAGGGGGGTTCGAGGAAGCCCGCTGTGGCCACTAGGGTCCCCCCCGGGACCCCAGAGAAAAGCCAGCCTGCCCCCCATGGGGCCCTGGGAGAAGCTGCATCCATTGTTGCCCTTGTGCTCATCCTGGATGGCGGGGCACTGGTCCATTCGCAGCCTCTCACCCTGACTCCACGGTGGTTGACAAGCTGGTTGGGCCAGCCAAAGCTCCATGATGGGGCCCACTTTACAAATGGGAACGACTGAAAATGAAGGGCCCGGGGGGTCAGAGCCACTACCCTGGCTCAACGTCCCTCCAAGACACCCCTCTGTTGCTGCCCTGCCCAGGGCGCCTAGGAGCCACTCGCTCCCAGGGAGAGGTCGTCCAAAGGCCCGCAGCTATAGCAGAATGGTCACCAGCGCCCCTTTCCCCATATCGCGGGGGAGCCTGGCTGGGGCCCACTGGCGATGCGGGGCAAGAGCTGATTGCCGAGGTGCCGTGCTTCCACGGAGACAGTGCTTTCTGTCCCGCTCTCAAGGCAGGGGCCTCTGGACAAGGGAAGTGCCCGCTGGGAAGATGGAGAGCTGGCCCAGCCAACTGTGGCCCAGCCTCCACAGGCAGCCTCCCTCAGATGGTGGGGAAGGTGGTCTTCAGTTTGGAGGTTCTGTGTGCTCAAATAGTCATGTACAAACCAAGGCAGAACTGCATCTGAGGGTCCCAGAGAATTGGGGGAGGAGGTGGCAGAAGCATCCCCTTCCTCACAACCCTTTTCTCCAGAGTCTCCCGCCTCCTAGTCCTGCAGGGCCAGATTTGAACCTTGAGGGAGCTCCTGTGCCTTGAATTCCTGGGAAACCACCAGGATTTGGGGATTAACCTCACAGTTGTCGGGGAGATGGGAGAGACAGTATATGTGGAAGGGCTCCTGGAGGGGATGATCTTTGACAGCCAGGAGGACTTCGAGGCCAGGAAGCCTGGGACTGGGCAGGGGGCCTGTCCCCACCTGGAACCCACAGTAGGGCCACTGGACTACTGAAAGCTGAGGGCATGCTTGACAGAGCAGGAGCCTCAGAATGGAGGGATCCTGGCTGATGGGTGGGAAGTGACTCGGAGCAGAGGGGGTCAGGTAGAGCTGTTGAGTACCACAGCGCTCTCAGGAGCATGGAGAAATAGTCATGTGTTCATTTCCGTCATACAATCTAGGAAACAGTCAAGCCCAAAGGAAACAGGGGAATCTGCCCCGCTGCCAGCGCATGACAGAAAGGGAATGGCTTGGTTGCTGTAAAAAGAGTCTAAGGTGGTGCCAGCCTCATGCTGGACCTAGGCACTCAGATGTCATCCGAGCCCTCTCTCCATACTTGGGGACCTTCCTCTCCCCTGGCACTGAACTTCCTTTGTGCTACCAGCAGCCCTAACACCCCAGAGGGGAGACCCAGCCTCCTTCTCCAAAGGCAGCACCGAAGTCTGAGGTCACATTGCCATCCCTGACCCAGTCACAATGGTCAGGAATATTCTGACTGGCCTGGCCAAGGGTCACTGTGCATTTCCAAGGGCCTCCCCAAAATCAGGCCATTGGGGAATCTCAGTCCCCCAAAAAGGGGCTTGCTCCCCTAGACCAGCATGGCAAACTGTTTCTGAGCTTTTCTGTTAAAATCAGATATATACTCGATTTTTTTAGTTTTGCTTTCTGCTAAGTCTCTTCTAGTACAAGTGATAACAAACACGACGTTGTTCTGTTGTGGTGGTAGTGATTTTTAACTAAGGGGGAAAACGTTTTAATTCGAAACATTCCATGCAGTAGGACCATTTCCCCCTGCAGACTGAGAAAAGACCACCATTATTTGGCTCTCTAGTGCCTCAGCATGCTCAGGGACACCATTGTTCCATGGCAGCCTGTTTTGAGGATCTTTTTTTTTTCTCCCCTAAATAGGAAAGGTCTTATAGACTGTAATGTGGGGGTGGACTGCTGCTCCACATTGCTGGGGATGAGAAGAGGACTAACAAGAGTGATTTTGAAGGAACAATTGACAAGTCAAAATGACTAATTAGACACGAGCGAGGGGGTGACCTCCAAGTAGAAGTGGAAAAAAACCAAAGTGGAAAAAAACCCAACGTTGTGAAAGGATTCCAAAAACATTTTTGTTTCATTATCCAAAAATTTAGAGAAAAATAAATTTATCCACAAATTACTCCCGTTTTTCCCAGGTTTCTGCATTACTCAAGTGACCAGCCAAAATAATTTGGTTTTTAAAATAAAATTGTATCAGGGTCAATACATTTTATGTCAAACTAATAAATGACTATAAATCTGTTCTTAAAAACTTCTAATCAAATGTGAATATATGTCCATTTTATCCTACAGTTACTACTACTGTGTTTACCGTACCAATAGAGAAGTTTAATTTTTTTTCCTCACATGGCTTCAAATTTTTCAAGAAACTTTACATATTTACTCAGAAGTTTCATGCCCGGATGAATGTACAAATAATAGCAAAATAAGGACAACAGGAAGAGGAAAGATGATTTGATAGCCAAAACTTCATGGAATTTTCTAACTCAAAAGACTCCATTTCAACCTCTAGACTGTGACTGAGATGATGGGGGCAGGGGGTGGCACAGAGAGATGCTCTTCTAAGAGGAGCAGGTCCTTGTTGGCCCTCCGTAGGGCTTCCTGCCCTCCTGCCTACCCTCCTAGGAGTCTGGATCTTTCAGTATGGATAGACAGCAACTGGGAGAAGGCTTAATGCTGTGTCAGTTCGGCACCATAAAGTCTTCTACCCACCCCAAAACCCATCTATGGGGCTTGGAGATGTCCCCGAGGAGAGGAGAGTCAGTGGAGGCCATGTTCCCTCCCCCAGCCCACCAGCAGCACTGATGCTTCTCTCCTCCCAGGATGCTGAGGGGCTGGGAAGGCTGGTCGAGGCAGCAGGAGCCCCAAGAGGCTTGTAAAACCCCAGCTGACTCAAGGGAAGCCTGAGGGCTGCAAGGTGTGGGAAGCCATGCTTGTCAAGGGTCCAAGCAAGGGGAAGGCAGAGGGATGGGGCCGACCAGAAGTAGAAATAAAAGGATTTGGTGCCCCACCTGAGGAGTTTGAGGTGAGAGGAAGGGAGCCGAGGGAATCAGGGCTCTGGCTGGACCCCCATTAAGTGCAGCTGGAAGACCAGAGTGGCAGTGGAGGATCGAGGGCTTCGCTGGCTTGAAAGCCTCTGGGAACCATAGGTGGAGACATCAGTTGTGCTTTCCACGTATCACAGGTTTATCGAGCACCTGCTACACTGGGGGCTGTGCTGGGGAAAGACACACAGCCTTGCTCTCCAGGAGCTCCCAGTCTGGCCGGGGAGATGGGGCCCAGGTAGCAAACTGAGAATGAAGAAGGCTATGCTGCAGTGAGGGCCACGGGGGTCCGTGAGGGAAGGAAACAGTAACTACTATGGTGGTGGGAGCAGGGAAGGCCCCCCACTGAGAGCCGAAGGATGAAGTGAGCAGTGGTAAGGACTGCAGACCTTCCAGACACCCACATCAGGGAGACTGCTTTGCTGTATTTGTTGATTTTTCCAAACACCACGAAAAGCCTTGTTGGTGGAGAATGAATAGGGGCGGGGGCAAGTCAGAAGGTAAGTCAGATGGTGGACCAGGCTGGAGGGGAAAGGGGGCAGAACTGTGCTCTGTTCTGAAGGTAAACCTAACAAAATTTGCTCATGGATCCGATGTGGATGCACTGGGGCTACTCCCAGGTCCAGAGCAGTGGTTGGGGGAGGGGGGAATGGCAGACTTGGAAGCTCTGTTTTGCCTGGATTTGCTGAAAATTGCCTATTAGCCTTCCAGGCTGGTGGGGAGGGGTTGTGACGTGTTGAAGTCAGGAGCTCAGTGACAGGAGTCATGAAATCTGACCATTGGCTGTGGCTGGTCCAGGGGAAGCTCTCCCATGCAGATAGCTCTGAGAGCTTGGTCAGAGGAGGAGGAGGAGGATGGTGCTGGGCCCTGCTGGGGGAGGAGGGAGACCCTGGCAAGAGAGCTGAGGCAGTTTCCGTGCAGGAGCGGGGATAAAAGACATATGAGGGGGCTAAAGAGAAGTAAGCAGAGGGCGTGGAGACAGCAGAGCAGAGAGAACTCTGGAGAAATGTGCTCTGTAAAGCACAGCTGAGGAGCTGCATGGTTCCTGGAGGAGGAAGGGAGTTCCAGGGAATGATCTTGTTTTTCTGTTTTTAGTTTAGTTTTAGTTTTGTTGTTGTTGTTGTTGTTGTTTTTAAGATTTCAATTTTTAGTAATCTCTACACCCAATGTGGGGCTGGAACTTACAACCCCAAGATCAAGAGTCCCATGCTCCACCTGCTGAGCTAGCCAGGCATCCCCTAGTCTGTGTTTTTGAGTGAGATACTATAGAGTTACTTCTCACTCCAGATTCTACAATCCCTAAGCCTAAAAGGCTTACGGGAAACTGAGTTGAAACTCCTTTGGAAAGCCATTAAGTGCCTTGTGGAACCCACCGCTCATGTCCACAGCCCAGTAAACAGAGCCCAGGGAAGGGAATGAGACAAAATGCATGCACATAGGTCTGGATCCCTGCCTGCCCGTGTATGGGCCCAATGGCGCACAGGCAGAGACACCTGGGGCCCCTCTATTTGCCCTGATCCACAGAAGGCAGGTGGTGGGTGGGAGAACCAAAGGAAACACCTTCTCATGTTGGGGGTGGGGGGAGGACTGTGGGGTTCCTCAGCTCCCTCCAGGGCAACTAGGGGAGCAGAACCCCGCAGATATCTTAGGAGCCGCGTGCTCAGAGCCCTCCCGACTCCTGGGCCATTCATCTGCAGAGGGACGCCCCCTCGCTTCCTTCTCAATGCGCTATTTTGCGGGCAGGGGACACCGGTAGCTGGGCTCACTCGCTCTGTGCATAGGGCTTCCTCAACGCACCAGGAGCCCTTGGGGGCTGCAGGGCAACCTCTACGCGGAGGTGGGCTCACCCTCTGCTTGCCCAGCCAGCTGGCCCGCTTCCAAGCCTAGGGGACAGTGGCCGAGGACTCCTTCCCAGCAGGAGGTTGCGGGGGGGGGGGCGGGGAGTCGCTGCTAGTCCTCGGGCCATCAGACAGAGTGTGGAGGGATGGGGGTTAACACTGGTGGGGAGAGTTCCTGAGTCCACTGGGGCTCAAGGGCCGTGGAATCGTTTGCCGAGAAGACACCCAAGGTCAGGCCAGGGTATCATCGCACAGGCTGGATTTGCCTGACCCGTCGCAGCGGACGCCAGCAGCCTGCGCGCAGCACCGCCTCCCTTACAAACGCGCGCGCTCTCTCTCTCCATACGCAGAAGACCAGGCGCTGGCGAATGCACGTCCCCGAGTCGGGCACCCCCAGCCCCCGGCCGGTCGGGAAGGAAAACCCGACGGCGGGGCCACTTTGGGAAGGAAAGAAGCCGCGAGCGAAGACCTTGACCCAAGAGAATGCCGGAGGCGCGCGGAGGCCAGAAGAGAAACTTCGAGGTGCGCAGCGAGCAAACCCGACGCCGCCAAGCCAGGAGCGTCGCTGGCTAGGCGAACTAGGGCGTAGCCCAGGGAAGCATGCCGGCCCATCTAGTTAGTCGGGGCGCGCTTCCTGGAGGAGGAGAAGGAGGGTTTACCACTCGAGCTACTGGGATGAATGGAGGGGGCGGGGCAGCTGGCGGGCTGGGCCAGGCCGAGGTCCCCTGCCGAGCCGGGGGCGGGGGGCCGGCAGCGCGCTTAAAGCTGACGCCAGAGGAATCCTCCCGCGACCCGCCGCAGAGACACAACTTCGTGGGTCCCCGGGCCCGTCGAGCTTCTTCCCAGAAACTTCCCGGCCCCGCCCAGCCCCGATCCGGCGACGCCTGGGCGGGCACGCGGGCTCATAGGATCCCGATCTACACGTTCTGAAGGAGTCGCCTTGGGCTCCCGGGAGCAGCCTGCTTGGGACCGACAGGAGCGCGGGTGAGGGCGCCGGGCTGGCGCACGGGACCCCGCCCGGAGCGGCACTGGGGCGGGGCGTCGAGCGGCATTAGGACCCAGGCGCGGCGCGGGGGTGTGTCGCCGGCTCTGGCCACTGGCCCGCCGGAATCGCCAAGTTCGGGGTCCCGGAGATCAGGGTTGAGGACCCCGAGCGTGCGCGTGTGTGTGCAGCCGTCCGGCGGCCGATCGCCGTGGCCATGGCCGCGGCCGCCCGGCGCATGTTCCATCTCCAGCCATGCGGTGGGTACCTGAGCCGGCAGGCGCGGCAGGGACGCGGCGGGAGGGCCAATCCGTTCTCCAAGGCGAAGGGGTGTTCGGCGGGGTCGCGGAGCCGTCGGAGCACCGGGGAGAACGCGCCTGCCCGCCTGCAGAGGCCCCGGGCCACGGTGGGCGAGGGGGTCGTGGAAGCTTCCTAGGCCTGGGGTCAGGTGTAAGTTCGGCCAAGAGGGACGGGGAGACGGGGAGACGCGGCGGGGAGTACACGGGTGGTGGAGGGAGGCCTCGTGGACATTGAGTGCTTGATTCGATGCTCTGTCGCCGACTTGAAATTCTTAGTCTTTGAACCAGTGCGGTAGCCAGTGGAGGGGTAGGGCGTGGAAGTGATTGGGAAGGAGCCATGGGGTCCTTAGCACCCCGAGAGCTGGACCCTTCCCAGCCGGTACGCTGCCGTCTCTCGTTACGTTCTGCCGGGACACCTTCTCGCCCCCGGGGCTGCGGAGAAGCCTGCCTACTCTTAGGGATCCCGGGGCCACCGACTGTCCCCTGCGAGGCCGCAGCAGTTTTTACCTCAAGGCCCTGACGCCTGAGGGCCAGCCAGGGGTTTGTACGACCATTGTTTACCTGCACGTGGGGCGTCCGGGATGAGAATAAGGTGTGCACTCCCCCCACTCTTCCAGACCCTCGTCGCCCTCGTCCTCTGTCCATCCCTCAGATGTTGGCTTTACCGCCCCCGCCCCTCCCTTCTAGATGCAGGCCGGGCTTCTGTCCCGCGCGTCCCTCCGCATCCTGCCCCCAGACCCCCAGGCCCCTCCTCTAGCTTCCTTCCTCGCACCGAGCGCCACAAACAGTTGCGACCATCCGGGGCCCCGGCGTGGTGAGCGCGCCCGGCGCTCCCCGCCCCCACCCCGCCCCGCCTTCTCCCTGGAGGACCAACGGCTCCGCCTCCCAGGAGGCCCGGGACGCGGGTGGCACCGAGGGGAGGAGGCCGTTGCCAAGTCGGCCCCCTGTGACCCCGGGCGCGTGCGGTTGGGGGCAACTGCACGTGTGATGGGTGTTGATGGCCCCTGGGACAAAAGTGAGAGTGAGAGGAACTATGTGGAGGCAAGAGGTCCCCCGCCCAGGTCCTGGGCTTGGCAGCGAAACAGCGAGACAGGGAGGACGGCCACTACGTGGAGGGTGGAAGGACAGGCCCCCACCCTCCAGCCCTCGCAGCCGGTGCTGAATAACACCGTCTACAAACCCGTGCCGGGTACTGTTAATAACTCCTGGGGGAAACGGGGCTGGGAATGGCTCCCCACCACCCTACTTGGCCCTTTCCCACTTGGGGAGACCCTAGGAGATTGGCTGAAGAGTACCGGGCTGGGCTTCCTCTGGTTCCTTAGGGGGCCCCTGCCTAGTGCAAGCCCCTGCCCCCCCCACCCCAGGTTGGCCTACCTGGGAAGGGTAAGAAGGCATGGGCAGGGTTGATGTAGGGTGGGGAGTGGCTGGGCACAGGAGAGACTGTCCAGGGCTGGTCAGTGGAGCTGGTAACAATTCCTGGGTTTCCCTTGCAGAGCAATCCTCTTCCATCATGTCGCAGAATGGATACCTTGAGGATGTAGGTGAGTACCTCTGTGGGGGGATGTACAGAGAGAGCTCCTTGGTCTCTAGGGGACCTGGTCCCTCCAGCAGGGTACTCATGGCATTGAGCCCCCACCTGTGAACTCTGCTGTTGCTGGGAAGCCTTTAGATCTTCCCCTCCAGGAGGTGGTGGTACGGTTAGGGAGGCAGTTGACAATCGCCTCGGACACTGAGAGGTCACTCCGGGGGTCCTGGGAGGGAAGGCAGTTCCCTCTCCCGGGCTCTGAGGGCCATCTGGTGACCTCCCTTGGTTCGCTGTTGGAATGCTCTGGTTACTGGGCCAGACTTTAGGCCATGCCATATATGCCCTTGTCCCTCAGTCCCTGCCCAGCCTTGTGAGGGAGGGGCTGCTATTGTCCCTCTAAATCCATGGAACAGAACCTTTCCTCACTTCAGCTCTCCTGCTTGTTCCAGACCAGCTCTCCCCATTCTGTGTCTCGGGGGACTCCTGTACCCAGACCTGGACGCTGGCCTGACCATCTGAAGGGTGTTCAGTGGGATGGTGCTTGGGCAGAGTGGTGATAGGGTCTGCCTCAGGGTCCTCAGGGCCTGGTGACTGGGGGGGCCAGGCTGCTGGCAGGCGGATTAGGTGTGTGGTTGGGCTTATAGGATGGATATGGGGACATGGCATCCTAGGAGCATTGCAGGGACCTGGTCATGTCAGCTGGGCAGGTCCTAGGTAGAGCCCAGAGTAGGGGAGAAGGGGATAGCATGAAGGGCAGTGCCCAGGAATAAAGGGTGCTGGTGGGTGTGATGGAAGGGATGCTAGGGCAGGTGGGGGCTGGGGAGGAAGGGGTTTCTTGTGAACATGAGCTCCATGGCAAAAATGGGAAGGACATCTTTTAGCTCGGAACTCTGAGTGCAGTGCAAACCTAGGCCCTCCTGCCCAAAAGGGGCCAGGCTAAGCACAGGCCACGGGGGGACGGGGCCTGGGATGTGCAGAGGAAACCGGCGGGCTGGAGTGGAAGTGAGTCAGGGTGAGTCACTGCCTGGCAGGTGTGGACGTGCTGCTGACCCTTCCCCGTCCCTGCACAGGTGTTTGTCAGACCTTGGTGGAGTCTGGGCTCTAAGACCCCCCTTCCTGGGATAAGACCCCCCTTCCTGGGAGCATTCACAGGTGGTGAGCCCTGGGGATCCACAGGACAGTCAGGAAGGGGTGCCAGCAGGGCTCTGGGAGGGCTGGCCGGAAGAGGAAGCTTCTGTGGAGCCTTGAGGAAGGTCCTCTAGGGAGGGAAGCCCTCTGCTCGGAGGGCAGGCACTGGCATGTCTGGGGTGTTGGTCACCTGGCGTGAGGAGTGACAGATCAGAGGTCGGGAGTGGCCCTGGGCCTGAAGGACTGGGGGTCAGGACGGGGTAGCAGGCCTGGCCCAAACTGCCATCCCAGAGGTCACGAGGAGCTCAAGCAAGGGTGGAACGTTTGCATGTCACCAGAAAGGCTTCCTCTAGAGGAGGGGCGCCAGGACTGTGAACCGTTGTTGGAAGTACGGCCCACCCAGGAAAAGGCTCCCCTCTGGGAGGGAGTCCCAAGGTGCCAGAGCGCTCCTCCTGCCTGCCACTGGGAGTCTCCTGGGGTCCCTCCCTCAGTCCCTGTGTCTCCGGCTCCCCTACTTCCTGGGCCTTGTCTGCTGTCTGGACCAAGTCTCCCAGCCTTGCTGCTTCGGCCTGCATGCCCTCCCTGAAAGCAAGCCCTGTGCCAGTACGGTGGGGAGACGGCTGGACACCGCAGTAGTTCTGGCTTCCCTTGGGTCCCATCTAGGGAGCCCGGCAGGTCTGGGTCCCATAATTTGGGGGTTCGGAGAGGGCAGAGGCCAGTCTTAACTGCATCATTGCACCACCTTCCGGGCCCGGAGCTGTGGAATGACCATGTTTTTCTGTGGCTGAAAGGATACACATGGGTCAGAATGGTGCAGGGCCCTGGTTCCTGCAGCTGAAGAATGTTGGAGAAAGCTGTTGGGTGGGGGCTGCCGGCTGGCGTCCATGCTCTGATTGGGGCTAGGCCGGGATGAGCTATTCGGCCCACCTGGGCCTGAGGCTCCCTTCCTGGCCTACAAGAGGCCGCCCTCACCACTCGCTGAGAGTGTGCGGACTGGGACAGCCTGGAGTCCCTCCCTCTGGTGTATAGCACTGACGGCTGGGCCCTCTTGGGGGGGTTCTCTCTCGGTGGTGGTTGGGTCTCCAGGCTACCTCAAGTGTGACATGGACGATGCCTCTGAAACCCGTGAGGAGAGCCTGGGGGATGAGGCCTTCGACACGGTCAACTCCTCCATTGTGTCTGGCGAGAGCATCCGTTTTTTTGTCAACGTCAACCTCGAGGTGCAGCCCACCCAGGCTGGTATGGGGGTTGTAGCAGGGACAGGCTGGCGGGGACCGGCAGGGGCCTGGGTGCTGGGCAGATAGAGCTGCGCTCCATGGAAGGAGTCCTGACGCGGTGGGGCGGCCCCCTGAGCCCTCCCGCTTTTCCCTAGCCGAGAATGACTCGCCTGGCGGCTGCGGGCTCCTTCACACCTCACGCAAGGTGAGTGGCTCGCTGGCAGGACAGGGGACAGGGGACGTGTGGTCCCGGGCCACCCGTTGGGGGGGTGGAGGTGCCTGCTTCCCTGTCACAGCGGACAGACCTCTCACACCTGGCTACCGTGGGCCCGTGGGGGCGGGGCCTTCCCCTTCGGAGCAGGTGTCGGTCCTGGGGGCGGGGCCGCCGCGGAGGAGGCGCCCAGGTCGCCACAGCGCAACTCCCTCACGGGCTGCTGTGGCTCTCTGCGGCTCTGTGCACGCGGTCCCCGCAGTACCTGAAGCTGAAGAACTTTGAGGAGGAGATCCGGGCGCACCGGGACCTGGACGGCTTCCTGGCCCGGGCCAGCATCATCCTGAACGAGACGGCTACCTCGCTGGATGACGTGCTGCGGGCCATGCTGTGTCGCTTAGCCCACGACCCCCAAAACACGGAGCCTGACTGCAACTTGGACCTGTTCATGGCCATGCTCTTCACTGATGCCGGGGCCCCCACGGAGGGGAAAGGTGGGGCCCGGCTCCCCGGTGGGGCCCAGGGGCTCGGGGAGGTGGGCGGGTGTGCCCTCTGACCCCAGCCGCTCTGCCCTCAGCCCACCTGCTGTCCGATACCATCCAGGGGGTCACTGCCACGGTCACGGGGGTGCAATACCAGCAGTCCTGGATCTGCATCATGTGAGTTGCCGGGCCTCCAGGGTGGCTTCCCCGGCAATAGGCGGGCCCACCCAGTTTTGGGGCAGAGGGTGGGAGCACTCCTGCCGCAGGTTGCTGGGGGTCAAAGTCAGGGGTGGGGTGTGGGGGGAAGCCCAGCTCCCAGGGTGGCAACCGTGTGCCCTCCCTGCCCCTGGCAGCTGCACCTCCAAGGCCCTGCTGAGGCGACACGTGTGCATCAGCCGTCTGGTTCGCCCTCAGAACTGGGGGGAGAATTCCTGTGAGGTGCGGTTTGTCATCCTGGTGCTGGCCCCTCCCAAGATGGTGAGTAGGGGTCTGGAGGTGGCTGTTTCCTGAGAAGGAAGGTTCCAGGCTACTTGGCCCTCTCTCCAGGGGCATCTCCTCCGCATGCTGGGGGACCCCACAGTCTGGGCCCCTGAGGGCCTCGTGCTCACGCTGTCCTTCCTGTCTGCCCCACTGAGTCTCTCTGAAGCATCCCGCTAGGTCCTCATCCAGCCCTAATTCCCCCTGAGGTTGCGCATGAAGCTGTATTTCCTTGACTGAAAGAGATACTTGTTAAAATTAGTTTTATTGAAACGTGGGGGCTTTTCATCAGCCTGCCCCAACACCTATCTTTCTCCCAGTTGGCCGGCTCTATGATTTGCTGGCCCTGGATCCCCACTTCTGCCTGGTCAGGGGCACATCCTGCTTGTGTGGGAGGCTGAAGTTAGTATGGTTTGGGGAGTCTTTTCTGAAGGAAACGGATTTCAAAATCATAAATAGAAAATGGCGAAGGCCCCTCCCCAGGCCTGATAAGGGCCTTCATGTTTAAATTTCCTCTAGCTTCTTGATGATTCTGCCCCTGCCTCTGGTAGACTCAAAGCTTGGAATGGCCCTCCTCTATGGGCTTTCTTTTAGGTAAAGCGGGTGCTGAGGGGAATGTCCCTCCTTGGGAGGTTACAGTGCTGGGGAGAGGGAACATGGGCAGCACATGGGGCAGAGGGAGTGACAGCTGGTGAGGTGGCCAGAGCGGAGGAAGGGGCTGTATCCTGAGGGCCAAGTGGCTGGACTCATGCCTTGTGACAGGCCAACCAGCCCAACACCCGGCTCCTCCTCTGGAGAGTGAGCCTGTTCTGGAGCAAACAGGAAAGCAAAGCGTGGGCAGGACAGTCCTGGGCGACTGCTCTGGGCAGCATGAAGGGTTAGATGCTACTCCCAGAGGACAGGTTGTCATGGGGGAGGCTGGACATGAGTTGACTTTGGTCAGGCAACAGGGAGAAGGCTTGACAGGCCTGGAGTCCCTCAGGAAATCAAATAAACCAGCAGACAGTGGGAATGCCACCAGTAAAGTGGAACTGGGTAAGGGCTTGTCTCCGTCACTGTGACCTCATTATCCATGATGATGCAGGTCTGTGTTTTGGGACAATACCACTACCTCAGATTTTAAGAACTCATGAGTTTATGAAGGAAATTGGGAGACTTGACCCTGGTTCTGGTGATCTGCTGCCCAGGCAGGAATCCTGGCTGATTCCACTAACGCCTAAACTTTGGGGTACAAAACGTGCTGCCAGTCACAGTGGGGGCACCTGCGACAGGCTCAGGACTATCATTGATGACAAGGGCAGGGCAGGGATCCCCCCACTCACCAGGAACCGCAGTTGTGATTTCCCGTCTCCCGCCCCCAGAAAAGTACCAAGACTGCCACAGAGGTGGGGCGCACATTTGCCACCATGTTCTTGGACATCACCTTCCGCCAGGAGCTCCTGAAGACCCGCACAGAGGAGGAATTCAAGGAGGCGCTGGTGCGTCAGAGACAGCTGCTCACCATGGTGAGCCAGTGCCCAGCCCTCAGCGCCAAGGGCTACAGCATGAACTCCATCCACATACACAGACCCCCCAAGGTACAGCGGGGATGCAGGCCTGGGCGGGGGTGGTGGGGCAAGGGCCACAGGCCAGAGCTGACAGACATCTGTCCCCTTCCCCAGCCCCTGAAGCACAAAGATTTTCTCCCTGTGGGGAAGGGCATCCGGGAGGACATTGCCCGCAGGTTCCCCGTGTACCCGCTGGACTTCACAGACGGTACGTGGCCTTATGGTTCCCCCCCCACCCCCCTGCCAGAGCTCAGCCTGTGGCTTCGGTCCCAGGACAACACATGGGCCTGTCCTGCATCCTAGCAAATTTCCTGTCCTGTCCCATCCCTAGGCATTATTGGGAAAAACAAGGCTGTAGGCAAATACATCACCACCACGCTGTTCCTCTACTTCGCCTGCCTCCTGCCCACCATCGCTTTTGGGTCCCTCAACGATGAGAACACAAACGGGGCTATCGGTGAGGTGGGAAGGCAGGGGGGCGGGGCAGGAGGCCCAGGCCTGCAGTGACCACCCCCCTGACATCCCCCACTTCCTCAGATGTGCAGAAGACCATGGCAGGGCAGGGCATCGGAGGCCTCCTGTATGCCCTCTTCTCTGGACAGCCGCTGGTGGTGCTCTTGACCACTGCGCCCTTGGCCCTCTACATCCAAGGTGCCGTGGCACTGGCGGCGGGGAGGTGGCTCCCAAGGTCCCCAGCCCCCGCCAGGCTCTGACCACCCCCCTCGTCCTGCTGCCTGCAGTAATTTGTGGCATCTGTGATGACTACAATCTGGACTTCAACACCTTCTATGCGTGGACGGGCCTGTGGAACAGTTTCTTTCTCGCACTTTATGCCCTCTTCAACCTCAGTCTCCTCATGCGTCTCTTCAAGAGGTGACAGGGCCTTTCCCGAGCTTCTGGGACCCTCAGCCAGGAGGGGAGACCAAGGCTAGGGACCTGGGGCAGTCTCCACGCCAGCCTCTGAGGCCCTATAACCCTAGAGTGGATGGGGTGCCCCCTCCACATCACTGCCCTGAGACAGAAGTGTGGGACCCCGGTCTTCATGGCAGGAGGAGGTCGGAGACTGTGCAGAGGCTCAGGGAAGCCTCCCCATCCCCACCCCGGTGCCCTGACCGTTCATTCCCATCTGATGAGGCATGACATCCCCCTCCCCCTGCACCACCCCGGCAGGTCGACAGAAGAGATCATTGCCCTGTTCATTTCCATCACATTCATGCTGGATGCTGTCAAGGGCATGGCCAAAAGTGAGTGTCCAGTCGGTGGCCACCTGCTGCAGGGGAAACTGAGTTGAGCTGGGGGACTGTGGGCTGTGGCCAGGACCACCAAGCAGCATGCAAGCTAAGGCTCCTTCCACGGTCCAGGGCGCTCTCAGGAGCTGTGACCAGCAGGAAGCCACAGTGCCATGTGCTGGAGGGTGACAGGGCTGCCTCAGGTGGGATCAGAGGCACAGGGCCAGGTGTGAGGCACTGTCAAGAGATGGGGGAGGGGGAGGGGGGTGGAAAAGCAGGTCAGTGGGGTCCTCCTGTCTGACAGAAAGGCAGCCCCTCCCTTTCCCCATCCCCCCAGAAGCTCTTTCTCCCCCATATCCAGAAGAGAGCTGGGCCTCATCTTCCCAGAGCTCAGACCGCTGAAGCCTGCTGGCCTGTATCCACAGTCTTTCAGAAGTACTACTACCACCATGACTTTGGGAACTACAACACAGACAGCACTCCCCTGGTGAGCCTGCTGGGCCTCAGCACCGACCTCAACACCAGCCTCCACACGGCCCTCAACACCGGCCTCCCGACCAGCCCGCTACAGCCGACCCCCGGGAGCCACCAGGCTGACCCCCCGGGCCGGGAGACTGCGGTGCTCAGCCTCCTCATTATGCTGGGCACGCTGTGGCTGAGCTACACCCTCTACCAGTTCAAGAAGAGGTGAGGGGGGCCCTGCGGGTGAGGGAAAGAAGGCGCCAGCTGCCAGGCCGCACTGACACTCCCCACCCATGTCCCCAGCCCCTACCTACACCCCTGCATGCGGGAGATCCTGTCAGACTGTGCCTTGCCCATCTCGGTGCTCACCTTCTCCCTCATCTGCTCCTATGGCTTCCGGGAAATCAAAAGTGAGTTGGGGTCTGGCAGGGGGTGCAGTGGGGTGAGGTTGGTCCCTGGGGGCCACAGGCTTGAGCAGGGGGCCTGTATCTGCTGCAGTGAGCCAGTTCCGCTACAACCCCAACAAGAGCCTCTTTGAGATGGCTGAGATGCACTCCCTGTCCCTGGGGGCCATCGTCAGTGCCATGGGCCTGGGCTTCCTGCTCTCCTTGCTCTTCTTCATCGAGCAGAACTTGGTGGCTGCCTTGGCCAATGCCCCAGAGAACAGGTTTGCGGAGCGGGTCTGGGAGGGCTGAGCATGTGCCCGATCCTGCCTGGGGCCACAGGGATCCGGCCACATGTGCCCTCACCATCTGCTGCAGGCTGGTGAAGGGCACTGCCTACCACTGGGACCTCCTGCTCATCGCCATCATCAACAGCGGGCTGTCTTTGTTCGGGCTGCCCTGGATCCACGCTGCCTACCCCCACTCCCCGCTGCATGTGCGGGCCCTGGCGTTGGTGGAGGAGCGCGTGGAGAATGGGCACATTTATGAGACGTGAGTGGGGGCCAGGTCCCTTAAGACCTGAGGCGAGTCATGTGGGCCCTGAAGTGGGGGTAACCCTGGGCCATGGGGACCCGGGGAGGGATGCGGCTCGGGGGACTAGGGCCCAGAGGTGACCCGGTGCCCTGTGGCCGTGCAGAATTGTGAACGTGAAGGAGACACGGCTGACCACCCTGGGCGCCAGCATCCTGGTGGGCTTCTCCCTCCTGCTGCTTCCCTTCCCGCTGCAGTGGATCCCCAAGCCCGTGCTCTACGGCCTCTTCCTCTACATCGCGCTCACCTCCATCGACGGCAACCAACTCTTCGAGCGCGTGGCCCTGCTGCTTAAGGACCAGGTGAGCCTCAGCCCCAAGGACAAGGGGCAGGGTGCGCGTACGGGCTCCAGGCCTGCCCACAGCGGGTCCCTGCCGCCCACAGGCCTCGTACCCGCCTACCCACTACATCCGGAGGGTGCCCCAGAGGAAGATCCACTACTTCACCGGCCTGCAGGTCCTGCAGCTGCTGCTGCTCTGTGCCTTCGGCATGAGCAACCTGCCCTACATGAAGATGATCTTCCCCCTCATCATGATTGTCATGATCCCCATCCGGTAAGGGCAGCCTTACCCTACCTGGGGGTAGCAGGTAGTCTACCCCTGGGGTGGGGCAGGGGCAGATGCCCCCCCACTTTTGCTCTCTGACCCAGTGCTCACCTTGAGGTCTCTTCTCCCTCTGCCCAGCTACAACCTGCTGCCCCGAATCATTGAAGCCAAGTATCTGGATGCCATGGATGCCGAGCACTGACTGAGGCCCTGACCAGCAGGCCCGCGCCATATCCCTCTCACTGTCCCTCTGGCTCTTTCCAGACTGAGTCTGCAGCCCCGTGGGGAGAGGGATGCGGTCTTTTGGGGCGTGGTTCTGTGCTGCACCCCCTTCCTGCTGTCCCATCAGGCCTAGGACATCTAGGCATGGGGGGGGGTCGTTCCACGGTGGGGGCCCATCCCTGTCCCCATTAGCCTTTCGCTTGGGTCAGTGACACTGCTCAGGGCAACTTCTGTCCAGAGTAGGACTATGCAGGACGGATTTTCTTTTGATAAAAGAGTCAGATGTCTGAAAGAGAAACCATTTCCTTGATTGTGTAAGGAACTTGCTATATGCACACTAGAGAATAAAGCTCCTGTTTCTAGCTTCCATCTCGGCTGTCCCGCCCTGCCCCAGCCTCAGGGCCACTGGAGAATAAAAAGTTTGATGTAAAGGGGAGGGGGAAGGAAAAGGGACCCGTGTTTGCTGAGGGCCACCGGCTGTCCCCTCCAACCCCACACAGCGGATGCTGGCCCAACGGGCCTGTGGAAGATCCAGGAGGCCCTGGCGCTGCTGTGTTGCCAGGCAACTGCAGGGGAGGTATGTGGGGGGGATGGCATATGCAAGGGCCTGGAGGAGAGGGCTTGGGGCCAGTAGTGAGCCACAATGGTGGAGGAAAGATGGGTGGGCCTGGTGGCCCTGGGCCTGGGCTCCCAGAGGCAGCTGCAAAGCAGCCCAGCAGACTGAAAACCAGGCTCATGGAGGTCAGAGCTGCCGTTGTGAGGGATGCCCTCTGGGGGTGGGGCAGGGGCTGCACCCCGCACCAGGACACTGATAGTGGGGATGAAGAACAGCGGAAGACCCCCACGGCAGGATGTGGGGATTGGTCTGGTGGAGGGGAGAAGGGGCTGTGTTCCTGGCTTGGTCACTTGGTGCCTGGACAGAGGCCCCCACGGCACACAGTGGGGAATCCGGATCTGGGACTTGGAAGCGCCCCCTGCGCGTTATCTGGGAGCCCCAGCAGTGGTAGAGCCTCTGGCCCCCAGACATCCCATGACATCCCTTACAGCACTTTGGCTTGCCGCGTAAACCACAGACCCAAGGGAGCAGGTGAGAGAAGACCTGCTCTACCTCTCAACTGAAAAGGCCTCCTCTCTAGATATGCGAAGGATTCCTGCTAACCAACCACCACCACAAAGCCGATGACTCCAACTCCAATAGAAGAGGCAAACCTGGGGTGGGGGGTGGGGTGGCCCAACAGTCACAGGACAGTAGGAATGCTCAATGCCCTTGGTCATCCGGGAAAAGCAGCCCCAAGGGGAGCTGGCATTGCCCACTTGTAACCGGCAACACAGGCCGGCTGGCCTGCCAGCCGGGTAGAAGACACATGTACACTGGTGCATGGATCGGGGAGCAGAGACCGGGGCACAACCAAGACCCCTCCTCCACCTGCTGTGCAGCTCTGCTCCCGGGCAAGTGGGCGTGGGTACGAGCCCATTGTTTGGAGGGATGGCTAGCTAAAGGTTAACAAAGGGGGATGGTGTCCTGTGGGCCTGGGCCATCCCCCAGAGAGGGCTGCCCAGCCCGAAGCTCCATGTAACCACCCCATCCAGGTGGCATGTGGTCCTTTGGGGTCCCCTCCCCAGTGGCCTGCATGTTCCCTCCAGGTAGGGCCGTATCCAGAATCACCAGACGGGGAGCAGACAAGCCCCAAGCACTGCACATCTGAGCCCCAGCCAGACAGCACTCTGCACCAAGGACATGACTCAGAGGCGGTTGGGCTGCTGGCCCTTCCTGGGGCAACAACCCAGCCGAGCCTCACGGGCAAGTGGGGAGCAAAGAAACAATGTTTTGTCCACACACACACACACACACACACACACACACACACGGATGCACCTTAGGGGAGGAAACAACAGTTAAATGCAGGCCCTGGGCCATGCTGCCAGGACTGAGGAACAGCAACGGAAGTGACATTCTCCAGACCTGCCTAGCAGTCCAGAAATAAGCCTGGGAGTGATCCCCCAGCATAACGCTCCCTCCATTCCCATTGCATACAACAGGCTTTTCTTAATATCCTTGGGGTGGGCCCCTCCTCCCTACCAAAGAAACACCTGCGGGAAAGGAAAGGGAGCGGCCCCAGGCCCCTCAAGTCCCTCCCAGGACTGGCTTCCCTAGGGCCTGTGAGGACCTGGGGCAGCTGAGGCAGGCTTCCTGCGGGGCCTGGAGGTCCCAGGCTGAACCATGTTGTGTCCTCTCAACTCGGGTGGAGACTCCATGCCCTGTCCCTGCCATAAAAACGGACCTGGCATCATCAAGAACCAACATTTTAGGGGAGCGCCTGGGTGGCTCAGTGGGTTAAAGCCTCTGCCTTCAGCTCAGGTCATGGTTCCGGGGTCCTGGGATCGAGCCCTGCATTGGGTTCCCTGCTCAGCAGGGAGCCTGCTTCCCTTCCTCCCTCTCTGCCTACTTGTGATCTCTGTCAAATAAATAAATAAAATCTTAAAAAAAAAAAAAAAAAACCCAACATTTTAGGGGCACCTGTAAGCTCAGTCGGTTAGGCGTCCAACTCTTGATTTCGGCTCAGGTCATGATCTCAGGGTTCTGAGATCAAACCCCATGCCCAGCACAGAATGGGGCGTGGCACCTGCTTGAGATTCTTTCTCTCCCTCTATCCTTCCCTGCCACTCATTCTGTCTCTCAAAAAAAAAAAAAAAAAAAAGAAAAAGAAACAAAAACAAAAACAAAACCCCGCCCCAACACTTTAGTTGCTCTGATGTTACACTGAAATACAGCTGAAGCACTCAGCATCTGCACTGCCCACCCCGCAACCTGGCAAACACCACAGAGGCCAGCTGGGGGGTGGCCTCCCTCCCTGGGTGGTGGGCAGCATGGGTCTGGCATGGACAAGGTCAGCTCACAAGCTGAGACTTGAAGGATGAGAGGAAAGATGCGATACTCCAGTAAGCACGGTCACGTGAACAACTACAGCTGCTACCCTCGTCCCACCCTCGCCCCCCGAGCTTCGAGGTCTCCTGCTCCTGCCAAAAGAGATTCAGGGGACGGACAACTGCCCGGGGTAGGTTTCAAAGCTGATATATCCAGGTTATTCTAGAGGCAAGTGCCTTCCAGTATTTTTATTTCTGCCACTTCAAAAATGTTGAGGGCGATTTGTGTGTGGTTCTGCCCAAGCCCTCGGACCCACCATGGTCAGTTTTAACATCCAAGTCCTTTCAGGATCCCAGGCCAGGAGGCTGTAGGAGGGACCACTGAATCCCCAAGGGCCCCAAGTTCCTCTAAGCAGAGCCAGCTGCTCCTCCAAACAGGGCTGGTGAGGCTATCTCAACCCCCTCTAGGAAGTGGAGACCAGGAAGGCAGTACTTGGAGGGCTGCCTGTCTGATGGTGGAGGCGGCAGGCTAGCCTTCCCCAGTTCCCCGGCCAGGGCGATCATCACCAACTACTGGGGCATCGAGGCTGCCGAGGTATTTCTGCAGCTCAAGCAAGGCCCGGAAGCGATGGGAGATGGTGTTCTTCTCAGCTTTGGGCATCTCTGCATACCTAAGGGGTGACAACAGCAGCTCAGAGGAGCCCAGATTTGGGGGTACGCATCCCTCACCCATCCTGGAGCCCAGAGCTCAAGGAGTCACCAAGAAAGGGTGATGGGGCCACCAGCTCCCAGCAGCCAGAGTTAATTTAAAAAAAAACAGAGAGTTTTAAATTCCCCTGGAAATGGAAACCCATATTAATATGAATGTGGAAGGATGTCAGACTCGCCCGAGTGTGTCCAAAAGTCACCAGGGGAAGCCGGGGACAGGGGGATGAGCTGCGTGTTTGATCAGCTTTGTCATCTGTTGACAGGAAGCAGTGGGGCCTGACAGAGCAAACACGAGAGTCTCCTCTCCTGTACTGTGGGGGTGGCATGGGACAGCTGGCTAGTGGCCTCTCCTCCGAGTCACGGCTCCAGTGAGGACCCACACCCCACCTGGGTGCTGCAGATCTGTGCTGTCCATGCTGTGGCCACTAGCCGCAAGTGGCCATGTACATGGAAATTAACCGTCGTTGACTAAGACTATTTTCAGTTTCGAAGTCATACTGGATAGCCACAAGTTGGCTCGAACAGTGGAGAAAGAGCATTTCTCTATTTCGCATTCTTGTACGGTGCTGTTTCATATCATCCTCAGCCCTGTCTGGCTACTGGGAGGCTTCAGGCCACCCTCCCTAAGGGCCCCTTTAGCCTAGCACACTTGATTCCAATAACGGTCAACATGTCCACTGCAAATGTGGGGGGGTGCAAGGGGTCAGGGGCAAGTAATGAGAACACTTGGCACTGTGGGGGTTTCATGCCCCCCCAAAGGCTGGAAATATTAACATTTTTCCAAACTCCATGGGGAAGTCAGATGATCCCACCAAACTGTCAGGTTCATATAGGACAAGCCAAGGGTAGAGGGGGAAGGCACTCAAGTCACACAGCGGCTCTGCGGGGAGCTGCAGCCCGAGGGCCCAGAACTCCCGGCGCCGCCTGGCTGCCTCCTACCCTGGAGATCGGCCCGCTCAGATTCCTCCAGTCCAGCCCAGCAGAACTGCCTTCAGCTGGGGCAGCAGCCGACAGCCGGCCCGCCCACGTCCGCATGCTTGCCCTGGGGCAGGGTGCCGGCCCAACCTGGACTGTGGCCATTCCAACCCCACATCCCCGGAAGGAAATAGGGCTCCTTACGTCTGCTCATATCCATCAGGCTGAAAGCAGGGATCCCAGCCAAAGTCTCGGCAGCCTCGGGGCGCCACGATCTGGCCCTGCCAGGGAAAAGAGGGGATAGGTGTATCACTGGGCACAGAGGAGATGCCCTAGCAAGGGAAGGGTAGCCAGTTTGAGTCTGACTAGTTTATGTATTTGGTTAAGTCCCATTTATTCAAAATAACTGGCTTTAGGGCACCTCGGTGGCTCAGTGGGTTAAGCCTCTGCCTTCGGCTCAGGTCATGGTCTCAGGGTCCTGGGATGGAGCCCTGTGTTGGGGCTCTCTGCTCAGCAGGGAGCCAGTTTCCCCCTCTCTCTCTGCCTGCCTCTCTGCCTACTTATGATCTCTCTCTCTGTGTCAAACAAATAAAATCTTTTTTTAAAAAAAGTACTTATTAAAAAAAATATGGCTTCAAGAAATCTGTGGTACCTGCAAATGTTTTCTGAATACATAATTTGTATTATGAATCCCATAAGTACATATGGGACCACTCTCCCTTCACACACACACACACACACACACACACAGGAACCACAAACCTTATCAGCCCACTGATACCTTTGGGGCCACTCTCCCTCTCTCTCTACATCTCTGACAAACTGTGACCTCACTGAAGAGCGTCAATGGAAAAACTGACAGGAAACATTTTCTCTGACTA